CCTCTATAGTTATACATCACACACCTCTATAGTGACACATCACACACCTCTACAGTAGCACATCACACACCTCTACAGTGAGAAATCACACACCTCTATAGTGACATATCACTCACCTCTATAGTGACACATCACACACCTCTATAGTGATACATCACGCACCTCTATAGTGACGCATCACACACCTCTACAGTGATACATCAGGCACATCTATAGTGATACATCACACACCTCTATTATAAGTGATACACCACACACCTCTATAGTGATGCATCACACACCTCTACAGTAGCACATCACACACCTCTATAGTGATGCATCACACACCTCTATAGTGATACATCACACACCTCTATGGTGATGCATCACACACCTCTATAGTGACACATCACACACCTCTATAGTAGCACATCACACACCTCTATAGTGATACATCACACACCTCTATAGTGATACATCACGCACCTCTACAGTGATACATCAAACACATCAATAGTGACATATCACACACCTCTATATTGACATATCACACACCTCTACAGTGATACATCAGGCACATCTATAGTGATACATCACACACCTCTATAGTGATACATCACACACATCTATAGTGATACATCACACACCTCTATAGTGACATATCACACACCTCTATAGTGACACATCACACACCTCTATAGTGATACATCACACACCTCTATAGTGATAAATCACACACCTCTATAGTGATGCATCACACACCTCTATAGTGACACATCACACACCTCTACAGTAGCAAATCACACACCTCTATAGTGATGCATCACACACCTCTATAGTGATGCATCACACACCTCTATAGTGATGCATCACACACCTCTATAGTGACACATCACACACCTCTACAATAGCACATCACACACCTCTATAGTGATACATCACACACCTCTATGGTGATACATCACTCACCTCTATACTGACACATCACACACCTCTACAGTAGCACATCACACACCTCTATAGTGATACATCAGACACCTCTACAGTAGCACATCACACACATCTATAGTGATACATCACACACCTCTATAGTGATACATCAGACACCTCTACAGTAGCACATCACACACCTTTATAGTGATACATCACACACCTCTTTAGTGACACATCACACACCTCTATAGTGATACATCACATACTTCTATAGTGATACATCACACACCTCCATGGTGATACATCACACACCTCTATGGTGATACATCACACACCTCTATAGTGACACATCAAACACCTCTATAGTGATGCATCACACACCTCTATAGTGACACATCACACACCTCTATAGTGACACATCACACACCTCTATGGTGATACATCACACACCTCTGTAGTGATACATCACACACCTCTATAGTGATACATCACACACCTCTATAGTGATACATCACAAACCCCTATAGTGACACATCACACACCTCTATGGTGATACATCACACACCTCTATAGTGATACATCACACACCCCTATAGTGACACATCACACACCTCTATAGTGACACATCACACACCTCTATAGTGACACATCACACACGTCTACAGTAACACATCACACACCTCTATAGTGAAACATCACACACCTCTATGGTGATACATCACACACCCCTATAGTGACACATCACACACCTCTATAGTGATACATCACACACCTCTATAGTGATACATCACACACCCTATAGTGACACGTCACACACCTCTATAGTGACACATCACACACGTCTACAGTAACACATCACACACCTCTATAGTGATACATCACACACCTCTATGGTGATACATCACACACCTCTATGGTGATACATCACACACCTCTATAGTGATACATCACACACCTCTATAGTGATACATCACACACCTCTTTAGTGATACATCACACACCTCTATAGTGATACATCACACACCTCTACAGTAGAACATCACACACCTCTACAGTAACACATCACACACCTCTATAGTGATACATCACACACCATATAGTGACACGTCACACACCTCTATAGTGACACATCACACACCTCTATAGTGATACATCACACACCTCTATGGTGACACATCACACACCTCTATAGTTCTACATCACACACCTCTATAGTGATACATCACACATCTCTATAGTGATACATCACACACCTCTATAGTGATACATCACACACCTCTATAGTGATACATCACACACCTCTATAGTGATACATCACACACCTCTATGGTGACACATCACACACCTCTATAGTTCTACATCACACACCTCTATAGTGATACATCACACACCTCTATAGTGATACATCACACATCTCTATAGTGATACATGACACACCTCTATAGTGATACATCACACACCTCTATAGTGATACATCACACACCTCTATGGTGACACATCACACACCTCTATAGTTCTACATCACACACCTCTATAGTGATACATCACACACCTCTACAGTAGAACATCACACACCTCTATAGTGATACATCACACACCTCTATAGTGATACATCGCACACCCCTATAGTGACACATCACACACCTCTATAGTGACACATCACACACATCTACAGTAACACATCACACACCTCTATGGTGATACATCACACAGCTCTACAGTAGAACATCACACACCTCTATAGTGATACATCACACACCTCTATAGTGATACATCACACACCCCTATAGTGACACACCACACACCTCTATGGTGATACATCACACAGCTCTACAGTAGAACATCACACACCTCTATAGTGATACATCACACACCTCTATAGTGATACATCACACACCCCTATAGTGACACACCACACGACTCTATAGTGACACATCACACACGTCTACAGTAACACATCACACACCTATAAGTGATACATCACACACCTCTATAGTGATACATCACACACCCCTATAGTGACACACCACACACCTCTATAGTGACACATCACACACGTCTACAGTAACACATCACACACCTATAAGTGATACATCACACACCTCTATAGTGATACATCACACACCCCTATAGTGACACACCACACACCTCTATAGTGACACATCACACACGTCTACAGTAACACATCACACACCTCTACAGTAGCACATCACACACCTCTATAGCGATACATCACACACCTCTATGGTGATACATCACACACCTCTATAGTGATACATCACACACCTCTATAGTGACACATCACACACCTCTATAGTGATACATCACACACCTCTATGGTGATACATCACACACCTCTATAGTGACACATCACACACCTCTATAGTGATGCATCACACACCTCTATAGTGACACATCACACACCTCTATAGTGATGCATCACACACCTCTATAGTGACACATCACACACCTCTACAGTGACACATCACACACCTCTATAGTGATACATCACACACCTCTATAGTGACACATCACAACCGTCTACAGTAACACATCACACACATCAATAGTGATACATCACACACCTCTACAGTAGCACATCACACACCTCTATAGCGATACATCACACACCTCTATGGTGATACATCACACACCTCTATAGTGATACATCACACACCTCTATATTGACACATCACACACCTCTATAGTGATACATCACACACCTCTATGGTGATACATCACACACCTCTACAGTGACACATCACACACCTCTATAGTGATACATCACACACCTCTATGGTGATACATCAGACACCTCTATGGTGATACATCACACATCTCTATAGTGACACATCAAACACCTCTACAGTGATCATCACACACCTCTATAGTGACACATCACACACCTCTATAGTGATACATCACACACCCCGATAGAGACGCATCACATACCTCTATAGGTGAGGTGAGGTGAAATTGGGTTTAATGTCGCGTCCAAGATTATTGCAAGATTTTAGCGACATGCATGCATATGTGTGTGCGTGGCTACTTGTACTAGTCCGGACTAATGCTGCCTTAAAGTGATAGCACACTGAGATACAATGCCGCAGTTTTACATGAATACCCCACTCAGACACAGTATACTGACTCTGAGCCGACCAGTCCTTGTTTTAGCCCCTTTAATCCCAGTGCCAGACAGGGTAACAACAAGTACCATCTTTAAACAACTTTTTGTTTGACACGGCCGGGGATTGAACCCCGTACCTTCAGTTCTCCGGGCGGACGCTCTACCACTGGACCACGGAGGCTGTCCATACCTCCATAGCGACACATCACACACCTCTATAGAGACATAGAATCACCTCATATAGCAGTCTTTAAACTGGCTTTTGAAATTTTCCAGTCCCCCTAATTTTTGTCAGTCCCAACTCTCAGTAAATAGAAATATGTATGAAAATTACCTGGTATTAATTTATTCAACATCATGTTCAATGCAATGACGTCATCTCTGAAGTAGTGAGGTAGTATGGTTTTACACCGCTTTTAGCAATATTCCAGCAATATCACACCAGAAATGAGCTTCACACATTGTACCCATGTAGGGAATCGAACCTGAGTCTTTGGCATGACGAGTGAACGCTTTAACCACAAGGCTAAACGACCGCCCCTCATCTCTGAATTAACTTAGTTAGATCTTCAAGTCCTTCACACAAAGTTAAGTCACAATTTTCTCTCTCACTCTGTCTATATTTTTTGATATTTCAAGACTAAGTTGCTACAAATATGTATGTAATCGCAAAGCAAAGCGAAATGGTATTTCCTTGCACTAAAAATAGACAAGGGGAACCCAATGGTAACAGGCAAGTCGACTTTGTTCGAGTAATATACTTATATGAATATCACGGATGTTTTGTTCAACAACAAAGATTTATGAGATACTTTATTTGCCGGTCCACATGACTGGCAATCACATGAGTTACTGGGCCAAGCCCAATTTTACCAATTTTAAAAAACTGGTAATTACCAGTAAACAGGAACACTGTCTATAGTGACACTGTCAAGTATCTGTGTTTGTTGACTTTTTGCAGAGTTTTGTGACAACATGGCTGCAGCTTTCCCACAGGGAGGTTTCCACACAGACGAGTCGGACAACATCGTGAGAAAAATATTGAAGGTTGTCTGTCGCCACCAAGGCTGCTGCATTGACCTCAATGTCCTTCAACGAACCTTTCAACGAATGGGTCAGAAAGTTCCAAGAAACCTCCTGGGTCTTCTAGAAGACTACAACAACAACTTCTTTGTAGAGGACAACAACGTCACTGCTTTCACAAGCCTTGAACTCTGCCCCAAACATTGTAAGAGGAACGGGTACTGCGAGGAGGATTACTGTGAGAAACTCCACATATGCAAATTTTTTCTTCTTTCAAGCTGTCATTTCAGCCAAAATGGCATTCCTTGTCAATTTGGTCATGATCTGGACTCTGAGCACAATAAGACAATACTTCAACAAAATCTGCTGGACGAGCTCACAGATACTGAAATACAACAATTGTTCCAAAGCAGGAATAGTCGGGGTGCAACCACCATACCTCTGATTTGCAGATTTTATAACCATCTTAAAGGATGCACGAAAAATAACACGTGTCCCCATTTACATATCTGCGAATACTACATTAAGGGAGCCTGCAAATTTGGTGCTTCTTGTAGAAGAAACCATGATATAGACACTCAAATTAAAAGAGTTTTGATAAAATTTGGAGTCAATGTCAGTCAAAGACCTAAGGACATTCTTGATGATATCAGAAAAATGTCAGAAAGGGCAAATAACTCTAACCTACAATCACAACCAATGAGAAAGTTCAGTTCTATGCCAATGCTAGGGAAACATGGAGTTCCACCCTCACGGCATCAAAGGTCCAGACCTTACAGACATAGTAATGGTCCAGAGAATGAAACTGATCAGACGTCAGATGAAATATGTATGTACCATCTGAGAGGTGCTCGTGGTTGCTGGTTTAAGGTAGCTTGTGCAAAGTTTCATAAGCCAAAGATATTCCAGTGGCAATACCTTGGTGAGACAGACACGGATTGGGTCGATTTTGAGGATTATGTCAATGAAAAGCTGGAGTCCACATTTTGCAATGTTGAACGGTCTGAATGCACAGTTTTATTTGAGTAAGTAATTCATCTCCCATAACTGATAGGTAATAAAGTCATATCTCGTAAATAGTGGAGTCCAACTTTACTATCCAACCCCCTATTACCTGAACCTACCCAGATAACCGCTGAAGGTGTCAAGAGTTGGGTAGAAAATGTCCGATTGAAAATTGTTTTTTTGGAGCACTGAAGAAAACAATGAAGATACATGTATAAAACAATCTGGTCATGAATACAATGAATTTGACGGAAGCTTTCTATTCACTCAAACACATAAAAGTCAGAAGGAATGCATGCATAGTCAGTAAGTACTATGAACATAAGTGACTTGTAGAGTAACCATGGAGTTTTGTCGTTATTGTCATTAAACAATCTATCACATAGGACTTACTCAGGACCACCTGACGTAAAAACCTGAGTAAACCATCCCAGCTCTTGTAAATGCATTCAGTGGATTATGGCATATTATAAAAACATTGTGCACTTTGTGGTAAAAGCATGAAATGTGGGATCAATTTACATCAATACGGTTCAATTTAGATGTTGTGCCATTCTTGACTTGACCTTTCGTGACCTTGGTGGCCATCTTGAAAAATGGCTGACAATCTAACAAATATCTGTTGATATCTTGGTAACTAAGATAGCTGGAGCCATTATATTTGTGTGTAAATAAATGTGTTTTATCTTCAAGAAAGTTGAAAAACTCATTGAGTGTATTAAGCCTTGATAATTGGAAATAAAAGCCTTGATGTGAAGCAGCAGCGTGGTTCCAATTAAAAATCAATGTTGAATGTTAAAAAAAAACAATCTATGTGATCCAACTGCCGAAATTGTTTGGAAAACCAGTGATCGAGGGTTTGAATCCTGGTTCGCCCTTATTATGTTTCTTAGTTTGTCAGCACCAAACCCAGCTTATTGGTTTCATTGAAGGAGTAAACATCAGAGACCTACATCACTTTTCTCCCAAAATAAACTGACGGCCATGAAATAACTAAAATACTGTTAAAAGCTACGTTAAATGCAACTCACTCCATGGAATTTAACAAAGCAATGGCGCTTAGCACTGACAATTAAGGTTAGAAGGGCAACATGCACTAGTGGTCAACAACAACAGCGTGTGGAACTCAGTTTGAATTGGCCTCAAGAACTCCACTAATGTAACAGCTGGAGGCTAACTTGAGTTGGGGCATCAGGCCACCCGTCTGTCCACCTGATATAGCTGTAATATTGCAGACTGCATCCTAATATGACAAACATACTTATTACTTTACAGGCACAGCATTATAGATTGACATTAAGACTGTTATATTGCTGGCTGGCATGAAACACCATACATTCATTCATTTCAGGCCACTGGTTTGTCTGGTCCTGATAGGATTATTTACAGGTTGCAGTGATGCGGCTAGAATATGGCTTCAACAAACAATAACAACTACAAACACTGACACTAGTTTATATGGTTCAGACTTTTACTTACCATACTTACAGGTTATATCGTTGTGATGATGCCGAACTGTCATAAAACCCCAATAAAACTCTTTTACTCAACAGCGAGTCCGATAGTGAGGAGGGAGATGATGATGATGAGGATGATGCGATGATGGTGGACTTCAACAATATGCAAGCTAGCGATAAAGGGAGACGATACACCGTGCGGCGCCTTGGTACAGCATCCCATGTAGCATTGCCTCAGCACATTGCAAAGAGTTTCGTGGGTCAGGTGACTCGATGGATATGGTACTGGTATGATGACCGATTACAACAGTGGAGGCAATATGGGAATGTGGTAATTATACCAATTTCATAATCAGCCTTTGATATACACTTCAGCACAAAAATACACAGAGTGAACAAAATTTAGATAGTCAGGTAATTAATGCCCTTCCTTTGTAGACAGTTGTACCCAAACCAGGCTGAATTTGGTAGAAATTTGCATGTTTTTTCAATAAGTATTTTTACATGCTTTAAATGATTTCTCTTTTTTTGGTTTAATTTTTGTTAAAGAATTAATTTTACTTTTTTCTGACTCATACTAATAGCTTATCTCATCTCACTCCAAAAAGGTAGTGGAAACACCCGTGTTCTTAAGAACAGGGAAAAACATCTCACCCGAAAGCACCCCTCAGCCACGCAGCCTACTGGAAGCACGTAATCATGCCGATGTTCTCGTCACTTTCTCCTTTTCGCGCCAACTGGGTGGTTGGGGTAAATTTTTGTGCTCTCATAACCCAAGCTGTCAAAATTAATAGTTCTATTGAAATAAGTTGCTTTGATTACCTTCTTCAAACTATTCTTCATCATACTGTAACTTTATTACTAATTTGGGTTAAAAGATGCCCTTTCTTGTATGATGAGATTCTGTGGTATCAAAGCTTGTGTGTTTCAAATTGTGATCCACACCAACATCATACATGTGTCCCTCAACTATGCCCTAGAGAGACTCATTGTAGTTTCTGCATCTCTAGCTGCAATATGTAGTACAGAGGAAGAAGTTGGGCCAGAGAAGAAGTGATTCTCCAGGTCATATTCTTCAGCTGAAGCGGCTGGTATTATCACACCTAAAAATAAGAAAAGTAGGTAACAATTTCTTCTTCAGATGACGACAGATCCTTAGTGGTCGTATCTGAGACGGCTGCTGAGAACCCTTCCTCACAGATGTCAGAGAAGTCTGTTGCCCTGTTCCTAAGCGGGTTCTACATAGACGTCCATGGTGGCAGACCTTCATGCAGGACCAGGCCTTTACGCAGCCTCAGATGTTGGTGTAGGACCAGGCCTTTACGCAGCCTCAGATGTTGGTGTAGGACCAGGCCTTTACGCAGCCTCAGATGTTGGTGTAGGACCAGGCCTTTACGCAGCCTCAGATGTTGATGCAGGACCAGGCCTTTACGCAGCCTCAGATGTTGGTGTAGGACCAGGCCTTTACGCAGCCTCAGATGTTGGTGCAGGACCAGGCCTTTACGCAGTCTCAGATGTTGATGCAGGACCAGGCCTTTACGCAGCCTCAGATGTTGGTGCAGGACCAGGCCTTTACGCAGCCTCAGATGTTGGTGCAGGACCAGGCCTTTACGCAGCCTCAGATGTTGGTGCAGGACCAGGCCTTTACGCAGTCTCAGATGTTGATGCAGGACCAGGCCTTTACGCAGCCTCAGATGTTGGTGTAGGACCAGGCCTTTACGCAGCCTCAGATGTTGGTGCAGGACCAGGCCTTTATGCAGTCTCAGATGTTGATGCAGGACCAGGCCTTTACGCAGCCTCAGATGTTGGTGCAGGACCAGGCCTTTACGCAGCCTCAGATGTTGGTGTAGGACCAGGCCTTTTTATGCAGCCTCAGATGTTGGTGCAGGACCAGGCCTTTACGCAGTCTCAGATGTTGGTGCAGGACCAGGCCTTTACGCAGCCTCAGATGTTGGTGCAGGACCAGGCCTTTACGCAGTCTCAGATGTTGATGCAGGACCAGGCCTTTACGCAGCCTCAGATGTTGGTGTAGGACCAGGCCTTTACGCAGCCTCAGATGTTGGTGCAGGACCAGGCCTTTATGCAGTCTCAGATGTTGATGCAGGACCAGGCCTTTACGCAGCCTCAGATGTTGGTGTAGGACCAGGCCTTTACGCAGCCTCAGATGTTGGTGTAGGACAAGGCCTTTTTATGCAGCCTCAGATGTTGGTGTAGGACCAGGCCTTTACGCAGCCTCAGATGTTGGTGTAGGACCAGGCCTTTACGCAGCCTCAGATGTTGGTGTAGGACCAGGCCTTTACGCAGCCTCAGATGTTGGTGTAGGACCAGGCCTTTACGCAGCCTCAGATGTTGATGCAGGACCAGGCCTTTACGCAGCCTCAGATGTTGGTGTAGGACCAGGCCTTTACGCAGCCTCAGATGTTGGTGCAGGACCAGGCCTTTACGCAGTCTCAGATGTTGATGCAGGACCAGGCCTTTACGCAGCCTCAGATGTTGGTGCAGGACCAGGCCTTTACGCAGCCTCAGATGTTGGTGCAGGACCAGGCCTTTACGCAGCCTCAGATGTTGGTGCAGGACCAGGCCTTTACGCAGTCTCAGATGTTGATGCAGGACCAGGCCTTTACGCAGCCTCAGATGTTGGTGTAGGACCAGGCCTTTACGCAGCCTCAGATGTTGGTGCAGGACCAGGCCTTTATGCAGTCTCAGATGTTGATGCAGGACCAGGCCTTTACGCAGCCTCAGATGTTGGTGTAGGACCAGGCCTTTACGCAGCCTCAGATGTTGGTGTAGGACCAGGCCTTTTTATGCAGCCTCAGATGTTGATGCAGGACCAGGCCTTTACGCAGTCTCAGATGTTGATGCAGGACCAGGCCTTTACGCAGCCTCAGATGTTGATGCAGGACCAGGCCTTTACGCAGCCTCAGATGTTGGTGTAGGACCAGGCCTTTACGCAGCCTCAGATGTTGGTGCAGGACCAGGCCTTTATGCAGTCTCAGATGTTGATGCAGGACCAGGCCTTTACGCAGCCTCAGATGTTGGTGTAGGACCAGGCCTTTACGCAGCCTCAGATGTTGGTGTAGGACCAGGCCTTTTTATGCAGCCTCAGATGTTGGTGCAGGACCAGGCCTTTACGCAGTCTCAGATGTTGATGCAGGACCAGGCCTTTACGCAGCCTCAGATGTTGGTGTAGGACCAGGCCTTTACGCAGCCTCAGATGTTGGTGCAGGACCAGGCCTTTATGCAGCCTCAGATGTTCATGCAGGACCAGGCCTTTATGCAGCCTCAGATGTTGGTGTAGGACCAGGCCTTTATGCAGCCTCAGATGTTCATGCAGGACCAGGCCTTTACGCAGCCTCAGATGTTGGTGCAGGACCAGGCCTTTACGCAGCCTCAGATGTTCGTGCAGATGCAGGCCTTTACGCAGCCTCAGATGTTAGCGCAGATGCAGGCCTTCGTCCAGCCTCCCGTCTCTGTCTCACACTTCTCCCCGTTCCGCTACCCTCATGCCTCCTTCCTTTTACAGGGAGTAGATATGTTTGAGCCTTCCTTTGCTGATGGTCTTTACATCTCCGCTCCCTCCAAGGATCTACCTTCTACTGATACAAGTGACATCTCTGGCAACAACCTAGAGTCTCTGACTCTACCGCCAATTAAAGCTACTTTGCAAGTGATTAAGAATATTAACGTATACTTCACCAAGGATACAAGGACTCCAGCTTTTACCAACCCCTCATATCAACCCCAACAAGTTTCACTTACACGGCATGACAAAGACTACACCTTACTATTGGACTCGAACTGGACACAAGAATTAGACAAGCTTTCCTTGAATTGACTGTGTCTTATTCTATTATTGAATTATCAGAATTCTGATCTTCAAACAACTCAGGATCTCAAGTTTCTTTGGATCTGATTCCTAACACAACAAAATTTAATTCAAGTCCCAGAAGATTGTTGGATAAAAATCCAGAACTGTTTTCCAGCAGCTATGCACAAACAGTTAATCAATAGCAAGTTCTGCTTGGCCTTCTCACATCAGCCCAAGCGCTCACGACGAGGGGCAGGTAACATCTTCATCCTATCCTGAGGTTCCTAATCCTTTCCTGGACCGTCAAGATCTCAGACTTCGACGACCACCTTGTCTCTTGCAATACTTTCACTGGTGGACAATCAAGTGGTACGTCTGCGGAGGAACCTTTTTGAACAAGCCGGTTTTCAAGCTTCACTTGTTTGTAGAGGCATCCTTGACTCAGACGTTGCTTCACTGCCATGGTCAGCAGTAGAGAAGCTCCTCCATATAAATCGATTGGAGTTTGGCACAATCATGGGAAAGACTTCACGCTTAAACGTTCCCCTCGCCAGCGCTGTTACCATCAGTTCTATTGGTCAGACACACAATGTGTCTTCTACTGCTTTTGGTCGCACCATACTGGCTGCCAAGAACCTGGTTTCCAGACCTCATAGCCCTTGGAGGGAACCCAGTTCTAAAGCTTACTTCATCCTTCATCCTCACTCAAGACACCTTCATCGTCAGCCAAAACACCTTCATCCTCACTCAAGACACTTTCATCCTCACTCAAACACCTTCATCCTCACTCAAGCCACCTTCACCATCACTCAAACACCTTCATTCTCACTCAAGACACCTTCATCCTCACTCAAACACCTTCATCCTCACTTAAGACACCTTCATCCTCACTCAAGACACCTTCGCCATCACTCAAGACACATTCATCCTCACTCAAGACACATTCATCCTCACTCAAGACAACTTCATCCTCACTCATCTGAAAAAGAGCTGCTGCATCTATATGATGATTAATGGAAGAGCTTCGACCAATTCCCATGAAGTAAAGGATTCTTAGCAGCTGAGGCCACTTTACCTCAAGTTGCAGAATTCCTCTGTCACGTCAGAGCAATAGATTTCAGTTGCACAAGATTCGACAATAGTGACAACACATCAGCCCATCTTGGTCTCTGTTGGGATTTCATAGCCAAGAATCAACTGCCAGGTCAGCCAGACAAACAGTTTCACAACCCGCCTTTATCATCTATCTTCCGTTCCAAAGATCCAGAGCATTTATCAGAGAGTCTAGTTAGAACCTTTACGTATGTTTTTACAAACGAGACGAATTTGACACGTCCGAAGTTAAGACGACTTTTCATCCTGAAAACAAGAAACACCCTCAAGAAACTGAGGGTAGCAGTTTATAAAAGAACCATCTTCTTCTGGTTGCGAGCAGTCATACCTTGAGCCTACAGAGACGCAAGTCTAGACCCTCCCTCGGCTTCCAATCCGCACAAGGTCAGAACTATCAATTCCACGTAAGCGTTCCATGGCAACTTCTTCATTCCGATGTTAAGGGAAGGAATGTTTCTGGAAATCGGACGCAGTCTTTGCCAACCATTATCTTTCAGACTTCGGCACAGAAGATATTGCCATGATTCACTAATTCGTACCCTTATGCCCCCTTTTCACTACGACCACGAATATCCTGAATCACCTGGAAACGGATATTTTCAAATTTGTGATGATTCGGCCAATAATGCAAACTTTCGTGGCTCATCAGGTTGAAAAATATGAAGAATGCCAGGAATGGGTTAAGAAACATGTACAAATTACAAGATACCTGTACAGATCATGCACGAATTGTAAGAATCACCTACAACTAAGTTACGAATATGCCGAATGTTGTTCTTACTTAACTCTTAGTTGACTCTGGACATTCATGGCTGTTTCGGGATGTTTTCGGGTTGAGGACAAGAAATTTTGGGAGCCACAAATTGCTGAGAATAGCCAAGAGTGCAAAAGAATCGACTACGAAGCTGTTTCGGAACATAAGAAATAATTATGAATGAACTACGAATGAGCCATGAAATTGCAATTAAGTGATCCTTCCACAAAAGGTTTTGACACAAACCTTCTCGGCGATTAGACCAACTCCTGCGAACTGTACAAATGTTTGGGAATCAAAGAAGATTCATTTAAGAACTTCAAGAAATGAATGCTCAACAATGGACAGACCCTAACTGAAGATAACAACAATCACACTCTCCCAAAATCATGCAGACTCGTAGAAGTCAGGTTACTGATTCATACCCACCGACTGAGAGTCCTTGCTCTCCTGTTTTACTAGGTTATTCAGAACATGAGGGATTATGATTGTATCAAGACCTTTTCTTAACACGAGAATCGTTCAAAGTATTCTGGAATATAATTCTATGCACTCTTGCACGACAGAATGATGTCCAAGAAGATTAAGAAGACCTTCCCCTGCGGTTAATTGAACAGATCACAATCTGAATTACGCATACGGTGGATCCCACCACCAAGCAGTGGGAATGAGTCAGGATAAGGTAAAATGTGTATTTTTTAGGGTAAAAATATCATTTATGCTTATCCTGACTCATATGCGTATAGCGCCTATCAAGCCGTCCTCACTTCCAGTAGACGTGTTCAGGCGTACGGGGAAGCGAAATGAGAGGGTGAAGAGTATACTGGCTTTGTCGCCTGCTTCCGGTGCTGCTGTGCGACTGAGGGGTTTGTTCTTGTGATTGTTTTCCTCTGTTCTTGGGAACATAGCACAGGAGTTTTCACTACCTTTTCAGAATGAGATGAGATAAGCACTTAGCATGAGTCAGGATAAGTATAAATTTTTACCCAAAGAAATACACTTTTAAGCATTTCCTTTTGGACAAGATTTGTTTATTTCATTTTATCTTTTAGTGACACTTTAGAAGCTGCAGTATCAATGAAGTCACAGTTGACCTTTGGAGGTCAACTTCTACTGTTTTATGAATAAAGTTTATATTTTCAATGCTATTTTACTTTGTCTTCATTATAATTGTTTTTGTATCCTGCTTCTGAGACCTGAGACTTAGAAGGAACAGAAAAACAAGAAAATATGTCAGTCTGACCTTGATCTCATGGTTGGTGGGATAGCCTTGTGGAGAAAGTGTTGGTTCATCATGCATCAAACCTGGGTTTGATTCCCTCTGTGAGAAGCCTGTTCTTGGTGTATTTGTCTAGTTGCTAGATTATCAGGAATAATAAATACATATATATAGCGCTGCAATTCACAAAATGAATATACTCTGTGCGCTTTGGCAACTGTGAGACTGCTGAAACAGAAATGTCTTAAGCTGAGATTTGAAAGAGAAGATAGTGGAAGCAGATTTCAGATTTTCTGGCAGATTATTCCTCAGAGACGCTGCAGGGTAGGAGAATGTTTTATTGCCGAAAGTACAAGATCTAACACAGGGAACTGGGAAGAGATGTCTTGTTTGTTTGTTGTTTATTGCTGCAGCTCCACATTATAATAGCTACATGGCGGCAGTCTGCAAATATTCATGTCTGGACCAGACAGTCCAGTGACTGACCTCATGGGTATCGATCTATGAAATTGGAATACGATGACATGCATCAACCCAGTCAGCACGTCTGACCACCCGCTCGCGTTAGTCGCCTCTCTGTGAAGAGATGTAGTTGTTGAGATCGGAGAGTTTGTGGAGGAGAATAAATCTCCACAAGGTTGCAAGGTTCTTGTCACACTTGCTGTCATTGACAAGGATATTATATCTGACTTGTGCAGCAACAGGCAGCCATTGCAGTTGGTCTCCATCAGATGCTGGGAGACATGATCAAACTTGGATTGAATACAATAATATATTTACATCATACTAAGAATTTAGAACCAATGCTGATTCAACTATTGTACTGTCACAAGGCCCTGTGCAGAGCTGAATCGCTAATTCATGGCTGGTTGTAGGTTCGAACCCCAAATTTCATGGAGTTGCGTCCGATAAAAATGCCCAAAACCTGTGGTCATGAATTGAAATCCTGGTTCCCCCTGATCATGTGTCGATGTTTATCATCCCCAAACCTATGCTTGTGGGTTTCACCAAAGTGGTAAATGTCTTAGGCCTCCATCACTTTGGGCTTTCCTCCCACATCAATCTGACACGCCATGATATTGAAATTACTGTTCGGCAGCATTGTGGCAAACTCAATCAGGGTTTACTACAGTCCTCTGATTATCCAGAGGTTGCTGAATTCATGGCATACGGTCGCACATGAAAGATAGGTCTGAAGATGCCTGATTTCAGAGCAAGATTCCACACGCCTGTTTCATTTATTACAGGTACTTGGAATACAGATCTGCTGACCCTAAAACTACAAATGTGGAATTAAAACTTCTTTTTTCTCATTTTCTAATTTCAATGATAAAAACAATGTTGGTCAATGGTTCATGGGAAGTAACCTTTTTCTTGGCATTAAAACATTCCTTCATGTCCTTTCTACATAACAATGACAATACTATCAAATAATCATTTTTGCTGAAACATGTATTTAATAATAACATGTATACGCCAAGTAACTAAAAATAACTCATTTTTTTATGTTTGATTTTTTAGGGGTCAGAAGGTCAAAGATCAGACATTGACAGTGACTTCATTGAGCAAGCATTTGCTAGAGATCAAAATGGCTATGTTGACTTCAGAGTTGGGACCAGCAATTACCGACTTCGATTTGCCAAGTTTCAACAAAAGAACAGAAGAACAAATACACGGAGACAAGTTCGACGGAGGCCCACCTATATGTGATACCGATGGATTTTGTATGTCTTTGTTGTTGAACTTACCTCAGCAGCATTAGTATGACCATATGATGGTGGCTTGTAAATAATTAGATAATTGTTTTGTAAGTTTCTGAGGTGTAGTATTTGAATGTATTATCATTAAGTTTTCTAAGAAAGGTTGAATGATACAAATAACTGCTGCTCCATGAAAACTTATACAGTTCTGAGACTTGTTCGTTGTTATGTCTGAGGTCGTCATTTAAGGTCAAGGTCATGAACTCTCAAGGTCACAGCAAGGTTGGTATCATTAAACATTCATATGAGAGATTGGCATGCAGTGGTCATGTGACTCCCAATTATGGATGATATCTGACTTGAGTGTTTCAGTTCACCTATTTTGTGAATTTACACTTGCCTAACATTTGTTTGTTCATTTTTTTTTGTTTTAAGCGAGTCAGCAATATTACAAGTGTATCATTACTACCTGTTAATAATGAAATCTGGACCAGACAATCAAGTGATTCATGCCATTGTTGGCACACTAACACACCACCAACCAAGTCTAGCAGGAGACGCATACCACACAACTCCCCCATGTGATATCTACATGAGACTAAAAGTGTATTTATCTCAGATATAAAGTGTGGTAATTTATATGTCCCTATGGTCCCTAATGTTATTTGAGTAGCATTTTATTTAAAAAGTTTCCATATTGAGCAGTGAATATAGGCTTGCTTATTTCTCTATCAAATTTAACCCATTATCTATGGTTTAGATAATCTTGTCTTTGATAATTGTCAGTTTTCTGATCATGGGGAATGTTGTAGTATGTGTATTAGCATTAGTTTAGTGATCTCATAACACATTTGTTTTGAGGTGCCAAAAAACGAACCCAAAAATATGTTTTATATCAGTTTTTTTCTACCCTTTCTATATTGACCTGATATTTTTTTCCATTTCTGTATTAGTGCAAAGACTTGGCAGGAAGAAATTAATTAATGAATTAAATCAGAATTGTATATATTTTATTTGTGGTCGTTTGGGTCAGTGGATCTGTAAATCAAGTTTGGCCAAAGTAGTATTTTTCAGATATTCATGGCTGCCACCCTCAGTACCAAACAACAAACCTCACATCATTTTGTTGTTCATGATCACCTGCATATGCAGAAAACTGCTACGTGTATTGCATGTGATTACTGAACTACAGTCCAGCGTGACCACAATCAACAATCAGGATGCTATAACACATTTGTGACCGATAAAAGTGACCATTCCTGTCTGTTCCTGATCAGCACCTACTATAAAAAAATGTGTCCATGTTGGTGAAAAATCTTGTCTTATCCTGAACCAGATCAGTCAACAGCTTATTTGCCTTCAACATTTTGTTTAAAAACTTTATGTATTCTGGATTTATTCAAATCTAAAACCGCCATGGAATCTAGGATTGTTGTGTCCATCATCTTATGATTCTATTCAATCAGAAAAGACTGTCAGCATGTTAGGTATACTGTGTAGTGAAACAGTTCCCTTCATAACTGAAGACTGTAAGTTTTCATTCCAAAATAGAAAAATATTAAGGTTAAAGTTTATATAACATGGCCAGCAGACATGATTTATGTTATATAATGTGCTGGTTATGGTGAAGTGAGGTGAAATGGGGTTTAATGTCGCGTCCAAGATTATTGCACTTATATTGCGATGTGCATGTACGTGTGTGTGTTTGTGTGGCTGCTTGTACTAGTCCGGACTGATGCCGATTTATAGTGCTAGCTCACTGAGATACCGTGCCTCAGTTTAACATGAATACCCCACTCAGACATAGTATACTCCGATATCATTTTGAATTTGTTTTAGTTAGTTTAGTTTTACAATGGCATATTAAAACATGTTGGTAAGATAAATTCATTGTAGTAGGATCGCATCGGGTACATAGGGAATTATGCATCCCTCTTTAGGTTTTTATACCACTCATCTTCGGCTCGTATTAAAACCTAACGAGGAATGCATAAAACCCCATGTACCTCATGTCCTGCTACAACAAATAGTGTTACTCTACATAAACAACAGATAAGAGATCCGAGTGTATGGTGCTTAAAAATAAAACTTTTTTTCCATTATACAAACTGTTTACAGATGAAAAACATCTAATCACCAAGAGAAACAGACACTGTTCTTAAACGTATTTAAAATTACACAAAACTCTGGAAAACATTTAATGATTTTGTATCTGATCTGTCTGTTGTATGTATCAAAATCGGAATAAGGGGTGGAATGGAGAGCGGTTTAAAGCATCAGGTGCTGAGATCGTATCCCCTTATTGACATCACTTCCCTTAGTGTACAGTACAATCACCCTATGCACTCCAAAAAGACCACTCATCCATTGATAAATGACCAGGGCTCACTTGCACAAAGCAATCTTAGCGCTAAGATGAGCGTAACTCCCATACTTTAACATAGGCTTACAATAGTCTTAGCGCTAAGATTGCTTTGTGCAAGTGGACCCAGATGGTGGAAGCAGGCATATGTACATACACCAGAAACACAAATATCAAAAACATGCAGTGTCACCCTGGACGAGTGACTTAGTTCAAATGTGCCTCTATTCAGTCGTAAGGGTCAACGCATACATTTTGTTTTTGAGATATTATAAAGTTTGATCTATATTTGTGGTGGCATGTAGTCCTATGCACAGAGCACAGGTCACAAATCAGGTGAAGTTCAGCAACATCGGTCGCGGAGAGTCCTTGGATGGATGACCATGTTTTGCAGCTTGGCTCCTGAGAGCCTCCATGGTTTTAGTCCTGCCCCACACTGAAGCATATGTAGCACATGTGGTGTCTCCTTGGACAAGTGACTTTGTTCGAATTATGCCTCTGTTTACCCAGCAGTGAATGGGTACCCGGTGGTTACCTTCTGATGCCTAACAGGCAGCTTGAGTTATATTCTCCCAGGGAGCTGAGAATGATTGTTGCGTGCACCCTGATCCATTGACCGGGGTAATAAATGTCTAAGCGCTTAGAGCATGCCGGTGCATGGAGAACAGCACCATATAAATGGGCTGTTGTTGTTGTTGTTGTTGTTGTTATTATTATTAAAATTATTATTATTATTATTATTATTATTATTATTATTATTATTATTATTATTATTATTATACCTTTGCACTTTAACCATGCTCCTAAATTCCCTCAGAAATACATATTTGGCTTTGTTAACATCTCTGAAATGGCCAGAATGTCAGAGCTGATCTTTGAATTGTTTGTTTTAGATTTAGAGTATGTGTTAATTTATTCATGTTAGTTTACTTACCAACATGAGTCCACTCAAATAAGTCAGTTCAAGGTAAAAACTTAAAATTTGGAATTTTGGGAAATATTAAATCAAACAAGGGTTGTCCTGTATAAATTGTCACCTGATATACCCAGCGTCATTATTGAGGGGTCGCACAGATAAGAAGAGATAAAAGAATTAAAATAATTGTCACATTGCTACTTGTCATGTTGTGCATGTCTGTAGGCTAAACCGGAGGCGGTCGGGTAGCCAAGTGGTTAAAGTGTTCGCTCGTCACATGGGTACAATGTGTGAAGCCCATTTCTGGTTTCCCCCGCCGTGATATTGCTGGAATATTGCTAAAAGCGGCGTTAAACCCAACTCACTCACTCACTCACTCACTCACTCACTATAGGCTAAACTATTGGTTACGTTCAGATGTCTGTTTCTCCATTACCTTCAATCTTGCATTATTTTAAAAGTCATTTTCCAGTTACATAAAATCATCCAATCAGTGTGACAAAAGCATAAACAACATGTTCTTCAACTGTTTATAACATTGTGAACATTCTCAGGCCTATTGACGATTGTTGGCATGTGTTCATGTTTGACCTTTGACATACCAAGGTGACCCGTCTAGGACTGGGACAGGTAGCCTGGGTACTCAGGTCGGGTGGGTCCTGAGTAGGACCCGGGTACCCACAGTACTACCCGGACCAGTGGTTAGTCACATGACACATTGTTTAATGACAATTGTGTTCCCAACTCTTGAGACCTACAGCGGGTACCCGGGTAGGGTCAGGTTATAGGGGGTCGGGTACCCAGGTAGTAAATTTGGACTCAGCCCTAGACCCTTCAATAATGATGCTGAGTATATATGCAAATAATGTAAATAATCCAAGTTTGTGTACTGTCATTCCTGGGAATCAGCTAATACGTAAGCCATGTAGTCACCCTTATATTTTGTTTGACTCCTGGCACATGTGACTAACACCCTGATTGTCATCCTGGATTATTCAGTCTCTTATATTCTTATTCTTATATGATACACATGGTTTCAGATACCTTTTTTAGCCATTGAGTATTCACTCATCTCGCACACTGTTTCACATGACTTTACACTAAAACTAGGCATGAAGTCCAATGAATTGAAACTGTTCTTGCATGATTGAAATTGACCATTTTCATAATGGTAGGATTTGCACATGTGCATGCACAGAGTAGAATGTGGAGGCAAGTGGTCCTTTCTGCAGCAAGCAGGTCACAAATCAGGCAAAGTTCAGCAACGTTGGTTGCGGAGATTAGTTAGATGGGTGACCATGTTTCGGCAGCTTGACTTCTGAGAGTTTCTAGGACTTCAGTCCTTCCCAACACTGAAGCCTATGTAGCACTTGAGGTGTCTCCTTGGGCAGGTGACTTTGTTTGAAACATGCCTCTGTTCAACCAGGGGTGAATAGGTACCCAGTTGGATGAGATGGTAATGTCAGTGTTAACCTTCCACTTCCTCACAGGCAGCATGGCTTGTATACTCCCCAGGGAGCTGTGATAGAAACTTGAGTGCACGCCATGGTAATAACATCTTCCCGAGGCAAAGGAGTTTACTGACTATAAAAGTCCAGTTTCCACCCTTGCCGAACTAGGCTGGTATTATGGAGTTACGTTTTGTCTGGACTAACGAGTCTATGCATAGTCCAATCAAATTCGCGCACCGAAATCAAAATCCAGTTTGTAAACTGTCGTGCAGATTTTGATCGATTGCAGGATTTGCAAAGTATGTGCATCGCCAATTCGTTGTCAGCAGATATTTTCCAAATCCTTTAATGTTTTTAATCAAGGTGATCACGTGATTTGATGCATATCACGATGTAAGACCCGTTTGATCACAATATATATCTTGATTATCGATCTGATCGTCCTGACTGGGTGCCACCATTTTGTGTGAAGCAAACGCAAGTGATACGAGCGGTGGAATCTGATTGGTCCATAGGAGAGGCTTAGAAGGGACATAATTGGTAATAGCTACTGACGGCGCAACGATCGAGCCCAGGAATTCCAGCCTAGTTCGGCAAGGGTGGAAACTGGACTTTTAAAGTCAGTTAACTTCCTTGCCTCGGGAAGATGTGGTGATAATGGTGTTACTTGAGCATGCATCAACAGATGGACGAAAGCATATTACAAATATCCATGATCATTGTCATTATAGAGCCCATATGACACATATGTATGATACACTGACACATTTCAATAGCTGACTTTAAAGAGACACACGTCACCACTACATCGCATGACAGCCCAGAGTATTCAGATGATGGAGAAACGTACTGTGTACCCGTATACAAACCTGAGAAGTATTAACATTGCATGTGCAGTAAAATAAACAGCACAGCACAGCAAAAGAAAGTATAGACTTCAAAATTGGATTTGACTGAAAAATTACAAACATCATCAAAACATGACAGGTCTGAAAACATTTGCTGAAATACTGCAAACTTTATGTCCAAAATACAACCATGATACCAGTAACATACATGCATCACCATCGAATAACCATATCTTGTTTGTTTCATTTTTAGCCACCATCAAACATGGGTGTATACTTTCATTTACCTAGCAGTTTAGTTCAAACTATTTTTTTACAAAGAAAGAATATTTGACTATGTATACATAATTTATTTGCATTGTCAAGATATTGCTTTCTTCGAAACTTTTCCTTAGGTTCCCTAAACTAATCATTTGAAAATATCAATGCGCCTGTTTATGATTTTTGGAGAAAGAAAAGTTGTTTTTCTGTCATGTTGCATATGAATCTAATCCTTTGTGGTATTATGATTATGAAATTGAGTTTCTTTTTTAAAATAAGTGTGTTTTGTATTCAGACTGTTCAATGCATGTACTCAAGTTTCCATAGTGATACTGGAACATTTTATATCTACATACCGTAACACATTCACTTCTACATACCGTAATCAGTTTTTGTTTGTGTTTTGTTGCAACACATTTGTGAAGGACATCAGCATATTTGAAGACACTTTTGTGTTTGGTAAATCGTGAGAACAACTTATTTTATTCCGTTTTCTTTTGCGATATTTTATTTCCAGATCCCATTCCCAAATATTAAATGGTCTGTCCCCTGCTATGAGGAATGTCCACCTGTACAAAATGACATTGACAGGGTTTCAATTTATGGCCATCCGAACTAATCTTTGTCACCATGGTTACATGCCGTCCAGAAATCCAGAAAACCCACCTCTTTGGCAATGACCATATGGACCATCCATCAACATTAAATGACATTTTATGTATCCATATATTGTTCATCTGGATTTGTTTGGAGTGACACCATCCATAGTTATGTTAATACTGAAAACACACTGAACTTTTTAAACAGTACCAATCAACCCAAACAACATCTGCTTTACAGAGGATGGCTTAGTGTCCGCTTTACAGCGGATGGCGTAGTGTCCGCTTTACACTAAATTACAGCGGATGGCTTAGTGTCCGCTTTACAGCGGATGGTTTAGTGTCCGCTGTACAGCGCATTCTTTACAGTGGATGGCTCAGTGACCGCTTTACAGCGGATGGCTTAGTGTCTGCTTTACAGCGGATGGCTTAGTGACCTCTTTACAGCGGATGGCTTAGTGTCCGCTTTACAGCGCACTCTTTACAGCGGATGGCTTAGTGACCTCTTTACAGTGGATGGCTTAGTGACCGCTTTATAGCGAATGGCTTCGTGTCCGCTTCTCAGCAGATGGCTAAGTGCCCGCTTTACAGCGGTTGGCTTAGTGTCCTCTTTACAGCAGATGGCTAAGTGTCCGCTTTACAGCGGATGGTCAGCTTGGCAACAATAGTTGACCTCGCTCAATATTTGGCAATAGTACTTGTTGGAAGCGCTAGCTGCATAGCAACATGGGTTGCTTGGCAACTGTAGTTGCAGGGTAGCAGTCACTGCATTGGTGAGCAACATGGATTGCAGTCAGCAGTCCACTAGTACCCCAACATTCACGACCATTTCATCAAGATAACATCTCCTGTCTTAAATTCAAGTTCAGCTATCATGCAAAAAATAATCCATATTAACTGTGATATGGATGTAATGTTGCTCATGCTTGTTTCTTTGCTCCGTGAAAATATGCCGTTGATCTTTTCATTGATTGATATTTTTTACCAATGTTATAAAATAAATTTATCAACTGTCACATGATCTTTGTTGTACTTGTGCTATCTCCAGTACAAATAATTGTCTGGACTGGACAATCCAGTGATTGATACCATGAGCAACAATCCAAGCCATCAAGGTTCATTGTTGTTTTTTCAAGACACCTTTAGGCAAGTAAAGAGCAGAGTTGTGTCCCTTTGTTGCAACAGAACCCTATGATTGTGGGTTTGAATCCTCATACGTCCCAATTATGTTTTCAGCACGATACCCATGCACTTGGGTTTTACCAAAGCGGTAAACATCTGAGACCTGCATTACTTTAGCCTTTTCTCCTACCTAAAACTGACACAGCGTGATATAACTGGAGACCTGGTCAAAGCGGTGTTGGACCTAACTGAAAAACAGACACACTCGCACGAATATGTGATTCAAACACATGATCATAGGTTTCTGGCACACCCGAGAGGCGCACAGCAAATTAAGTCCTTAGATGACTGAGCCCCATTCGAACCAAAGGCTGTGATACTGTGAAATGGTTCCAAGTCTGTGCATGTTACCCTCAATTAAAATTCAGCTTCGCTTGAAGCACTTGTAAAATCTCCTTTCCTTCTCGAACAGAAAGGATGCAAATCAAAGACATCTGCATAAACAGATTTATATCTACCAAGGACAACAGGCACCATATCATATTGATTGACATTTTATTTACACCGCTATATACAAAGTTATAATATCTTGAAGCAAGTGATATTTACTGCAGACAACCACGTGCAAAAGGAGGTCATACCAATAATGTGCCCGTGAAGCTGAAATCTTCAACTACGTCTGTAGTGATGATAGAAACAAACAATTTTTGCGTAGGGAAGTAATGTCAACATGATTTCAAAATAAGATATAAACAGGGATCTAGATTGCGTATTTACTCACACTTTATCATTCACATTGGAGATCAATATATTTTTACTCCCTTTGGTCCAATCTATGGGGTACTTATACACCAATGAGAACACATTTTTTAAACATTCATTTTGTGACATGCCTGCACATTCTCAGTAAATAACAATCTGAATAGGAAGCAATTAATAATTAATTGGGTAATGGTTATTTATTTTACTCAAATAGGCAGATTATTTGGAGCTCTGTAAAAATAGGGTTTTGATGCCACATTGAACAGTAGTTAGTTATCACATCATGTCAACTTTATCACTAAGGTGAAACCAACTAGTATGGGTATGGTGCTGACAAACCAAGAAACAATTAGGTAATCTGGGATTCAAACCCACATTGATTTCTGGCACAGTAACTTGGCAACAAGTACCATCTTGTAACGTCGTCACTGGTTATGGAACCACTGATCCAACATTCTATCCACTACACTATGGAGACATCCATATGATAAAGGAAGAATTTTCAATATTAAACATTCAACAAAATTCAAGCTATTTACACAGAGCCGACTCAGAAGAGCAGAGTTAAATAACATGATCATAGAGAAAAGTACAGAAAATGTATACAAAAGCAAAAGTTAGATATAACATGGCACAACAGCTCAAATAACAAACTAAACAAATCAGTGCTTTCTACAGTACTTTGATTACAGATCTGCCACCCCCCAAATAATTCACAAATGTGCAACAAAATTCTGTTCTTTCCACCAAGTTTCAATTTAGTGGAAAAAAGAACTCTTTCAAGCCGATCAATATGAGAAGGGAATTAACGCTTTCGACCACAAACCCCACCCTGACGATAGACCTCTGAGGTACCCTACTAACAACTACTAACCCACAAGGAGCACGTCTTCATTCAGTAATTTTCTTTGTTGTCAGGCAAGCAAACAGAAATGTGACCTCAAAATGTTTATTATCATCTGCAATTTAGAGTCGGCGGATCAGTTAAGTATGTACAATGAAACCTCATCAACACAATGTCTCATAAAAAATTACCAACAGTTCCAATAAGATAAACATGGTCATTATGTCACATCATCATGATCATCTTTCCTGCATCCTCAATACGTTCTTCAATAAGCCTTTGAAACATATGGCCGCTTTGCAGTGTAGTCTCCATTTTCAACCAACAAATCAAGACAGTCTGGTTCCAGCCAGATGGAAATCAGTGGGTAATCTGACCAATGAGCATTCAGCTGACATTGCACAAATTGTGATGTTAATCCCAGGTTGGCTTCTATGAGTACTAAACAGCCAAATTTCACCAGCATATGAGCTTACTAAAAATAGACATGTGTCACTACAACACCACATATCAGCCATATGTACCGTTATTCACAGGTGACAGAGAAATGTGGTGTTCAGTAAAAAGACTATACAACAAAAAGCTTTAAAAAAGCAAACATACAGAGATAATGACAGTCATCCAAGATAAATACAGTCATGATTTAACATCTCACAGACTAGGCTGGTTCATGAGGAAATCATACATAAACGTCAAACTGAGTCCTTGTACTTTAGACTTCCAAATATTTCAGCTTCTGCAGTGTGAGAAGGATGTGTAAGTGCAATTTTGAACAGTATTTTGGTTATATCAAACCTTATCTACTGGTTCTGGAAGAAAAGTCTGAAGACTGATTACAATAGGTCTTTGATGTTCACCACTGGGGTAAGAGCCACAAGCAGTCATCTTCCCGAAGCAAGTGAGTTAACTGACTATAAAAGTCCAATTTCCACCCTTGCCGAACTAGGCTGGTATTATGGAGTTAAATTTTGGCTGGGCTAACGAGTCTATGCATAGTCCAATCTGCACCGAAATCGAAATCCGGTTCGTAAAGTGTCATGCAGATTTCGATTGACTGCAGGATTTGCAAAGCATGTGCACGGCTAACTCGTTTTCAACAGATATTTTCTAAGTCTTTTCATGTTTTTAATCAAGTTGCTCACGTGATTTGATGCACTTGGCGATGTAAGACTCGTTTTATCACAATATAGATCTTTATTATTGATCAGATCGTCTTGATTGGGTGCCACCGTTTTGTTTGAAACAAATGCAAGTGGTACGAGAGGTTGAATCTGATTGGTCAATAGGAGAGGCATAGAAAGGACATAACTCGTAATAGCCACTGGTGGCCCTACGATCGAGCCCAGGACTTCCAGCCTAGTTCGGTAAGGGTGGAAACTGGACTTTTAAAGTCAGTTAACTCTCTTGCCTCGGGAAGATGCAAGCAGTGGGATGTGACTTAAAATCAAAACAATCATCAGGATGAATCGATGATCCAGGGTGCCAGGTGATACAACTCAGCAACAATCCCCACGTTCAGGGAACGCTGACACATAATCAACCATGTCACCTGGGCTGACCACGTGATCCATGAAGTCACATCACACAGCAAGCATCAGTTGCTGGGGACCTGTTCTAACCCGGACTGCCCAGGGAGGAGGTGTATATTTATGTGCGGAAGTAGTACCACTTTAAGAAACAGGGACCTCCTGACCTCAAGTTTCTTGTCAATAATCAATTCTTCCCAGGATACATCACTGTTGAGGAATGAAACTGTTTTTTAAAACAAAGACAATTTGAAGTTGGCAGGTTCAAATTAAACTTTTTTAACAATAAGCAGCAACAAAACGAATAACATCTATCTGAAATATAATATCTCCTGAAGCCATGTGTCAACACAAGCTCCTCACAGTGCTAGTCCATTTGTGAGACTCTCTATACTATTGCTGCCACCAGTCACAGCACTTCCCTGCGATGAAGCGTTGACACTGGCAGCGATGATACTGGGAGGGTAATCGAAGGAGTCACACACTGGGATGGAGTTTGGTGTCAACATTGCAAAGATAAGTCAAGTCCAATCATAAAACACAATGAATGTATCCATATACCAGGCAATTTAAGCTTGGAACATTCACAATGTTAATAACAAGAAAGGCATTGATTATTTCCTTATTTTAAACAAAAAATGATGATGATAATTCTTATTTTTCGTTATTCAAAACAAAAAATTTCACTCTCTGGACGTGCAAACACTTTGCTATGAACATGATGAATCATCACACTCCAGTCCTAGCTGGGTGTTGATAATTTTCAAACCAATACAAAAATTCCCATTGGTCAATCGTATTCATAGGATCTACGCAAACATCCGTAACCATTGAAACAGAGAAAATACCTTTCAATCTGTAATTAATCTTGCAATAACTCAATCCTATTTGAAAAAAAAATCTGAATTATTTCACTTCATAAACTTCTTAATACCATATTTCCTGAAATTAGCACACCCCCCTAAACACAAAATCCTCTTTTAACACATCAGTTGTATTGGCATTGGCAACAGGCTGTGCCAGGGGGTATAAATTATTTTAGAAACATTCCAATAACATTCCATCACTTAAAGACGGGCAATGCATTTAGTCATACAAGCAAAATATTGACAAAATCATCACTGACAAAATAAAATTCTCGTTTCTTTGGAAAGTTGGTGGTTATTTCAGGAAATACAGAACACATAAGAAAGGTTTTAAGGCTTCAGGTGTTTCAATAATCGACCCATCTCGGCTTTCTCCAGCGCTGCGATGAGGTCGCCAACTGTGGGGTTATTGTTTCCTATTTTCCACTTCTTCAGCAGCTGGTATATGACCTCTTCAAGACCGTCGCTCTGGTGGGTGTGGAAAATGTAGTCCACATCTGACTCCTCAATCCCCAACAGCCGAACTGTGGACAACAGACAGTCAGTAATGGACCAGTTGTGATAAATGAATCTATAATGGAAGGGAGGTAACTCCAAACTTGTTGCCTTCCCTTTTCCTCATGCTACCACTATTTTATTTTTTCCTTCCAACTTGTTGCAAATATAAAAAATATATTTGAAATTGAAATTTTAAATTTTTTATTGGTTTATTTATTTAAGACAATCAGCCCTGAACCAAAAATACCATGTTCAGAAATGTCAGGTAAATAGTTCATGAATGAATGATATCAACTGGGATAATATGGGAAAGAAACTGGAATATTCTACATGTCAGATGATTGTCATACAAATCTGAGACTCAGGCTGAAAACCCACAACGATATTGTGTATCTCATCACCTAGCAATGGCTGCCCACTTACTTAATCGCCTCCACGAGCCACCGACGTAACGAGACAATCGCTGGAGCTCAACATCTGAGACCTGGCGATGCGAATCTACAACACAAATGTTCATCAGTTATTGATACCTCTTAACTGTGAGGTATAGGTAACTATCACATGATCCTCTTTTTCATGTGACACTCAAGTTATATTCAATATGTTCAGAGTCATGAGATATAAGTTATATGTCCTTTTCTTATCATCAGTGTATTTGTGAGAAATAGGTTGCCTGTCCATAAATTATCAATCAATCAATCATTTATTTCAGTATTAAGGTCTCAGGCCCATGTACAATTAATACAATGAGGCCAATGTACAATTAATACGATGATGCCCATGTACAATAAATACAATGATGCCCATGTACAATTGATGCAATGAGGCCCATAGACAATTAATACAATGATGCCCATGTACAATTAATACAATGATGCCCATGTACAATTAATGCAATGAGGCCCATGTACAATAAATACAATGAGGCCCATGTACAATTGATGCAATGATGCCCATGTACAATTGATGCAATGATGCCCATATGCAATTAATACAATGATGTCCATGTACAATTGATGCAATGAGGCCCAAGTACAATTAATACAATGATGCCCATGTACAATAAATACAATGATGCCCATGTACAATTAATACAATGATGCCCATGGACAATTAATACAATGAGGCCCATGTACAATAAATACAATAAGGTCCATGTACAATTAACAGAATGAACAGAAACTCACCCCTAAGTATTTCAGCCTCATTAACAGAAACTCACCTGAATGTATTTCAGCCTCATTAGCATAAACTCACCTCAATGTATTTCAGCCTCATTAGCAGAAACTCATCTCAATGTATTTCAGCCTCATTAGCAGAAACTCACCTCAATGTATTTCAGCCTCATTAACAGAAACTCACCTCTAAGTATTTCAGCCTCATTAGCAGAAACTCACCTCAATGTATTTCAGCCTCATTAGCAGAAACTCACCTCAATTTATTTCAGCCTCATTAGCAGAAACTCACCTCAATGTATTTCAGCCTCATTAACAGAAACTCACCTCAATGTATTTCAGCCTCATTAACATAAACTCACCTCAATGTATTTCAGCCTCATTAGCAGAAACTCACCTCAATGTATTTCAGCCTCATTAGCAGAAACTCACCTCAATGTATTTCAGCCTCATTAACAGAAACTCACCTCAATGTATTTCAGCCTCATTAGCAGAAACTCACCTCTAAGTATTTCAGCCACATTAGCAGAAACTCACCTCTAAGTATTTCAGCTGTTTCCTCATCAGCCAGACACCGTTGCCGCACCTGCTCCTGTAGGTCTTCCTCATTGTCAAAGTTGTCAGAATCAGAGGATGAGTCCTCTTCCACCTCCTGGTTCTGCTGGCGTCCTGTCTGGACGTACATCCTGTTGTAGTGGCCGATCTGTACATTCTGACAGGCCACGATGTTGATTAGTGTACCATCTGTCATTTTAATTGCTGAGTTATCTTTGGTTACTGAAACAGCAATTGGAACTTCCCTTTACTGAATCTTCTATTTGACTTGAATCATTTATCAGGTTGTCAGGTCAATGTTGTGCCATGGCAGTCTGATAACATTTCATCTTCTGCATTAGTCGGTACATAATGTACAGAGAAAAAATATGTCATAGAAATTAACCAAAGGATTTCATTAAAATGGGTTCGAAGTTACTTGCACTCATTCAGTATCGTATACACAAAACATGGAAAAGACACGAAATGGTGCAGGACCAGAAGGGAATCTGTCCAGGACACATTTCACCGCACCTTGTACCCAAGGGTGTCACTGCTCCTTCTCTCCATCCTCACTGACATCCCCCTCTCCCCACCTGACTCCCTCCCCCCCCCCCCCCCCCCCCCCCCCCCCTCACTCACTCACACGCCCACCCCACCCCGAGATGTCAACCCTAATTAAAGTAATCAGGTGGGGTAAAACAGTGTAATTTCATGTGAAAAAGAGTAATGTTAAGAGTATCATGCCATGATGCTGGTTTCTAGATTCAACATTTTCATTAGGCATATACATATGTGATGCATGGGTACACATGCACTGACGCTAGGAATGTAGCTGCACATGCAAGCCGCACTATTTTTAAAACAGGACGATAAAGCTCAAATTAAGCAGGGAAAATGACTCCACTTGCGTTTGTATGGAATAATATGACAAAACCTTGAAACTGAATATCAATTCAAACATCGTAAAAGACAAGTTCCATAACGGCAAGCGACAACCTTATCAGTGACATACATCGGGGCCACATTTCAAACAAAGACATTGTATTTGGAATAACTTTGGTAATTAGCTTTGAATGAACAATTTGCTCTCCGTGATATTTTATACATGTAAATAATACGTGAAAAATATGTCGTAATTTGGGTAGGAAAAATGTTAAATCGTAATTTGAGGTTCAAAAGAGTAGTTATTACGCATCTCTGCCCACCCACCTCTCATCCAAACCAACCTCACTGCTCACCCTTCCCACCTCACTCGCAGCCCCCTCCCCCAGGCCTATCCCACTGTTCACTCCACCCCACCAACCCCTCACCCCACCTCACCTCACTGTTCACCCTCCCCACCTCACCCCCCCTCCGCCCATGCCTATCCCACTGTTCCCCCCACCCCACCTAACCTCACTGCTCACCCTCCCCAACTCCCCCCTCCTCCCCCCATGCCTATCACACTGTTCCCTCCACCCAACCAACCCCTCACCCCACCTAACCTCACTGCTCCCCTCCCCACCTCACATCCCCCTCCTCCATGCCTATCACACTGTTCCCTCCACCCAACCAACCCCTCACCCCACCTCACCTCACTGCTCACCCTCCCCACCTCACACCCCCTCCCCCATGCCTATCCCACTGTTCCCTCCACCCAACCAACCCCTCACCCCACCTAACCTCATTGCTCACCCTCCCCAACTCCCCCCTCCTCCCCCCATGCCTATCACACTGTTCCCTCCACCCAACCAACCCCTCACCCCACCTAACCTCACTGCTCCCCTCCCCACCTCACATCCCCCACCTCACATCCCCCTCCTCCATGCCTATCACACTGTTCCCTCCACCCAACCAACCCCTCACCCCACCTCACCTCACTGCTCACCCTCCCCACCTCACACCCCCTCCCCCATGCCTATCCCACTGTTCCCTCCACCCAACCAACCCCTCACCCCACCTAACCTCATTGCTCACCCTCCCCACCTCACATCCCCCTCCTCCCCCCATGCCTATCACACTGTTCCCTCCACCCCACCAACCCCTCACCCCACCTAACCTCATTGCTCACCTCCCCAACTCCCCCCTCCTCCCCCCATGCCTATCCCACTGTTCCCTCCACCCCACCAACCCCTCACCCTACCTAACCTCATTGCTCACCCTCCCCAACTCCCCCCTCCTCCCCCCATGCCTATCCCACTGTTCCCTCCACCCCACCAACCCCTCACCCTACCTAACCTCATTGCTCACCCTCCCCACCTCACACCCCCCTTACCCCACTCTAACATCACTCACTGCACCCCCTCACCTGTCTAGCCAACCCACCTTCGTGTGAAGAGATTTACCTCTGCCTGTCTTTGTTGACATGTTTTTTTCCTCGAAATATGATTGCCTATGTTTTTGTGTCAGGGATGAAATCATGAATGATTTCGTTATCTGATTGACTAGGTCGTCGCCTATGGTAGTCGCCATCTTTGTGAAGCTATTCGAGATAAGAACAGCTTTCTGATTGGATGTCGCGTTTTCATTACAAGGGGCACAACTCGTGATCTACGCGAGGTGGTGCCAGGGTCAAGCAAAGAAAAATGGCCATGATGTGGCAAGGGTAGAAACTAGGCTTTGATATAGGCCAGTGGACACACTTGCCTCGGCAAGACGGCCCCCCCTTGAACACCTTACATCATCTCTCATCTCTTGCTTCCCTCCCTCCCTCCTACCTACCTGGTTGTCTGGCGGCAGATGCTGATGAAGAGGCTCCAGTGGGAGGTATCCTCTCCCCAGTCATAGGGTTCACCAAAGAGGTGTTAGGAGAGATGTAGGGCGGGGCTTTGTCTATGTCGGAGATGTTCTGTATCTGGGCAACAGCAATCTGTGCATCTTTCACTGCCCTCATGGCCTGACAAACAAACAACACTGTTACCATGGTTATGGACAAGGTGTATGACTGAATAAATGGAAACTGGAGATAGAAAGCGAAAACAAACATTTGACTGTTACCATGCTTACATTAGGTTCTGATTATATGATATTTATGAGCATACTGTATTCGACGTAATAAGCGCCCCCCTCTAAGAAGCGCCCACGGCGATATTTACAGCAATATTGGCTGGTAAACATGGTAAACGATCCCAATTAGTACCCCTTCTGATTGATCAATGTACACAAGACTTATTTATTCCTGTATAATATGTGTGTTATATGCATCCTTTATTATTGGAAATTAAATTCTGGAAAAATATATCTGTCGAATATAAACATTTCAGGCTGACAGCATAAACCACAAAATTTACGATCTTTCAACTCTGTTGTTTTTCACCAAAATTATATTCTAATAAGAGCCCCCTATTTCTAAATTTGAGAGCGCCCTGGGTGCTTATTATGTCGAATACGGTATTCTTAATGGATATGTATCTTCATTCTTCAAGCAATGTTTACTTTGGGTTACAAAAATTAAATATATAAATTATTGCCACTACTAGCACTATCGATAATGTAGCATGGCATCGAGAGATAATTTATATGTTAAGGCCATGGACAATTGTGTTGCATAATAGCTCCATCAATCGTTACGCCCAGAACTAAACAGTAACCAGGATAACACTTACATTGTCAAGAATTCCGTTGATAGATATTGGGTGGCCTCCGGCTCTTCTGGCACCTTGGTTCCTGGACATGTTGAGGCGCTAGTAATATGTCTCACAATGGTCCACAGGATATTCAATTTAGAGACAGGACATCCCATCCACAAGTGATGATTTCCTGGAAAAAAATAAATGCAAATTATATCTTTTTATTAAACAATAATGCAGAGAATAATACGCCATGGTATACAGAAATAATGGAAATGTACCCTGGATGAAATCAAATAACAGAAATGTTCCCTAGCTGGCCACTTCCCAACACTGATGTCCATACAACGGATTGCAAATCCGTTTCTCAGCAGAATTCCAGAATGCAAAACACACATAAAAAACAAGTTGGAGTTTGAGCATCTCAACTTGGTAACAATCTATTCCAGCGTAATCGTATGCGATACTTTAGATTACAAAAGGCAAGTTTTGATTTTAGGAACTTGATTTGACTTGCACCGGGTGCATGTTGACAAGAAAAGCCAGTTGCACCAGACATAACCAGTCTGCACCCTGGTCCCATACAGTTATCCAAGATGAAACATGGATACATAAACTAGTCTAAGTAGGATAATCCCAGATCTCTGATGACTGTGTCATGTGTAATTTATTACACATATCTCAGGGATTGGTCATGCAGTAGGGTAAATAAAGCTAACGAAGTGTTAGGTACTAAATGTGTTCACAGATCGTGTTTGTGTGGACAAGTAAGGGCTAGTCACAAAATTTAAAAATAATTCCATGCAGACATAGATACTGTAAATCTTGAAATTAACGCGAGGGTGAATTAAATGCCAAAGCTCACATTATTAAACATCGCATTTATATCAACAATAAGACATTTTGGATAGCAGAAATACCAACTTAGACATACGCTGAAAACACATCAATGTTTATTGAGCAGCACTTGTAACAAGTACTAACACTAATTACATCCTGTGAATTGTCACTGCTGGGGTCAAGACAAGCGTTCTCCTCACTTAGGTCATCACTGATCACACCTGACAGACAGACGACACACGATGTCTTTGTTCTTTGCGGTTGCATCAAAGGCCGACACGAGCCAGCGCGCATGTATTGTTTTAGCTGAAGTACTCTACTCAGCGCTAATAAGCGGTGCTATTTGGTGTGTGATTGGATCAATGTGAGGATTCTCCTGTAAACCTGATAGTCTATCCGTAGGGTTAGTTAATTGTGTTAGGGTAGGTTACCCCAAACTCTATCCTTAGCCCTTGGATCCTCTTTAAGATCAATCCACCCTTTACGATCATTAGGTACTCATTTGTTTGCTATTACATTCTAGCAGCTCCTTCACACAAAACGCCAAGAAAGCAGGATATGAAATGGTTTGGTGTCAAATATTTTGGCTACTGGATACTGTCCTGGAACATCCACACAAGCCACTTACAACCTCTACATTTCTTCAGTAATGATTCAAAAGCCGACTCAACCTTGTGGCATCACTATTCATGCTTGCTTATGCCTTCCTAGAAGGAACTCTCCCACACATTTCTGTGACAAAATCACCTGGGAAATTATTAAAAACAATGTCATTCATGTGCTAATTCGACGTCTGATGAATGACGTTTAGTGCCATCATTCCTCACCACTCGGTATCTTGTAGATTACGGAAAGGGATGAGTGTGCCAACTAGCATCAGGATTAATCATGCTTGTCTTAGACTAAAGTCCCTTGGAACCTGCCTACCCGTTACTTTCATAAGAGTCCGTCACCTATTCGACCCATAACATCTAAGGCATGACTAGGTAAATTTGCACTAAACTGACAGGCTTACATTCCGAAGGTTGCTAATTTGCGTCTGACGGATTCCCCCCCCAAAAAGTTGCTAATCTCAGTGACATGTGACTTACAACAGAGATCATCCTCATGAGAACCTGTGGTGCTGTATTCTAAGGTGCTCCTTGTTTCCCTTTAGCATGTGAAGACACTTTGTTTTAATCCGAAACCCAATTATAGAAACATTATGAAAAAAAGCCATAGTTTTTCAAGTCAAATCATGATTTTGAATGTCAGATGAAGCCAAACAACAAATTGAAATGCATTCTTGAAAACTAGAATGAACACTAGACAATCAAAGCCTTTGTTTATAAGTACATGTATTTGTGTTGCAACAGTTGAAATAAACATATTTATTTCCATAAAGTGGAGGGATTGGCAAACAAGCAAATTTTGCTTATCTGAATGCCTCTCCCAAACATGATAAATATACAAATAGCAATGTATTGACAGTGACATGAGAAATAGCAACAGCATACATTGTATAATTGGCATTTAACATGTTTAAGGTTAGTATTGTTCTGTAAGTGTTTAATTACTGGATTGTCTTCCATAACTACAGTTACATTATTATTTACATTCAGCACAACATCGCAGTATCATATAGCAAAGCCATCATCTCAGACAAAATCTCTAAATCGGCAAGAAGATAGAATAAAACTGTTTTACCAGAAAGATCAATTTGCAGATTGGGCAACAATGCAGTTTACCGGGCGCAGCCCGAGCTCTACCATCCGCTCAATTACCGCGCTATAGTACCACCGCTGTCTCGTTATACCGTTACCGTGCCTCACGCTCTGGTGACTCTCGCTTCACGATCCAACACCCGTTTTCGGTCTTAGGGAAACTTACACATCTTTACAATCAAACACCCGTTCTCGGTCTTAGGGAAACTTACACATCTTTACGATCAAACACCCGATCTAGGTCTTAGGGAAACTTACACAACTTTACGATCCAACACCCGTTTTTCGGTCTTAGGGAAACTTACATGTCTTTACGATCCAAAACCCCTTTTCGGTCATTAGGGTCAGCTGGCTTTGGGCAAGGGTTAGCCATAAATTCTTACCTTTTCAAGCGTTAATCCAGTTAATCCCATTGGTCGGTCATGTTGACATTAACAATTGCGGGTGTGGTTTCAAGAAAAGATGAATGGGAGAGCGGGCAGTGACGTCACACGCATGCGCAATTCATTGTTTACTGAATTATTCATGCATGTCAATGGGGATTCTAATGACCTGTTAAACGAGCACTGATTACATGTGATAGCGCCTGTGGTCCAGTGGTAGAGCGTCGGCTAATTAACGCACTAATTAGCAGAGCCGGTGAGCCGGCGAAGCGCGTTCGAGCCCCCACAGCGCTAATTGGATCTGAAAAAGTGCGCGCGGTAAAGTGCACTACTACCGCGGATTGTGCCCCTGGACAGGACATGTGTTTTGGATATGCCATTATGTGTTTCAGGGTACTTTCACTTACTTTATTCTGGCAAGTGAATCTGCATAGGGTCACGACATGAGAATGTGTTTCTGAACGGTAAATGCCATGCGATAACCTGTCCTAAATATGGGACAAATCGTTGCATCAAGGAAGTATGGACTCCGTACATAACATACGTATCAAGGCAAGATATCGACAACTTCCGTAAAAACGTTTATTCAGGTTTTGGGATCGATATAGGCAACTGCAGTCTGACCAGATGATGTCACCCGTGTGATCTCTTAGGGAACGTATCTCACAACAAAAGGCAATATGCGATTATATTTTATCAAATATCAGATAGCAGCGTGAATGTTTTACATTTGACAATTGCAAATTATCAAAACTTGCCTTTGTTTATTGTCCCATAAGACACTTGTCGATATTTTGATGATGATATCCTGGGTTTTCCCAAAATAAGAACATACGAAAACATGGAAGCCTACTGATTCGAAAAATCAATGGTCCGAATAACAGATGCTTTAATTCAGGGTTCACGTTACAGTTGTGTTTATCTGTTTATCTACGCTTGTTCTTATATATTAATGATGATCGAAACTACATGGAAGACTTCACGATGTACTCAGGATTAAACAATGACGAAATAACAAATCAATTTTCGTTTTTAATATAACATGAAATTTTCTTCAAGCTCCTCACAGCAATAGCCCGCTCGGGGAGCTCTCTATACCACCACCAGTCGAAACTTCACACTGTGCCAGGCGACTACAGCCATGCATGGAGCTAGGGCCTAATCGTGACCTATCGAACTACAGACAGGTGACCTAAGTTTACGCACATCGCCGTGAAGCAGACGAAATTATACCCTATTAATTGTTTTGTTTGTTTGTCATCAGGTAATTCCATTTCTTTTAAATTGTCTGGCAGGAAGTGTGTCGAGGATAATATTCTTGCAAAACTCTGTGTCCTCTTCGGTAATGAAAACGCCGATAAAGCAGCTAGACGTATCGGATATCTACTATCCCTCAAAATCCCAGAAATAAGCTTAAACTTACCCATCTCAAAATCAGAAATTAAAAGTGTTAACAAGCAAAAAATCACCAAAAAATGGCATAACCTATATCTAAACTCAAATAGCCAAATCAAAAAAGTACTCAGCAAACCACTAACAAAACCAAAAATTCTCCATCCATCAAAAAAAATCGACTGAGTAATCACTAAACTCCAAACAGGACACACCAACCTAAATAACCACCTAAAAAAATTTAAAAACACACTACGGGTAACTGCCCACACTGCAAACAACTAGAAACCCCAGAACTCGCACTCATCCACTGCACACACTACCTAACACATCGAACCGCATTACAAACCACCCTCAATCTAAACAAGGCTCTCACTCTAGAAGCAATACTAAACCCACAAAATAAACTAGAAAACTTCAAGGCCTTAGGCATATTCTTAATCAAAACGGAACTAATAAAACGCATCTAAAAACACAATAATCTACCAAATCAAAATCACATAAACAAACAAACAAACATCCACCATACCCAGCCCCTTTAGTTCTCCTCCCCAACCCCATCGGCATCTATCCCAAATCTCAAAATTCCCAAATTCTATATAAGCAACCCCTAAAGCCCCCTCTTAGGTTGCACACACCACTTTCGCCCCTTTCGGAAATACATTAAATGGCCTGGCCGGGCCCGTGTGCGAAATACGCATCAGTGGGAAAGCGCATGTTAAATCTCCAAAGTAAGTAAGTAAGTAAGTGTGTCCTCTTGGATGCCGAGACAGTTTCTTTGCTGCATGATCACCACGAAGCTGGTTTGTGTAGAAACTGTTTCATAAAAATAAATAACTTTATGAAATTTAAGGATGGATTGCAAACCAGCGTGAAGAAATATCTTTGCAGAGATAACAAAATCAAAAGGCATTCACTATTGATGGATTGTTCCACACCTGACAGCAAGCGTCAATCGATTGCATGCGAGGTTGAGGATATTTCAGGTGAGCGTTCCCGTACATGAGGATCCTGATAGTTATGCCGTATAATGTACTGTGCCTAAAGTAATGTGAAGAAAATATGAAACTTTTTCATGCCTCTAACCTTCTCAACAGCCCATCCAATGTTCCTTATCTTGACTTGTTTACTGCTGTTTGTTGTCACTATCATTCTAACCGGAAATGATTAGTCTGTTTATAAGACATAATACGTAATGATAATAATAATAATAATAATAATTTTTATTTTTTTTATTCATGGTTAAACTAAGTGCTGTTAGGGGATCTTTTGGGACCCTTAAATAGATTTTCTTGCTTTATTGCATATGTCTCATTTGATAAATCAACTTTGAAACCTCAAGCACACATTTGGAATTGTGATTCATCTGTTGCAAAGAATTTTAACTAAGCATGAGGTAGAAGCTAAAATATTTGCAAAACATATTATTGCATTGCTGGAGCTCAACATCCTCTGATGGCTGAAGCAAGACCGACTGGTATTGCTTTCATCGTCATTTACAGTGAGTGCCCTTTTATATTTGCATACATTTATGTTTTTAGAAAGTGTGGAATGTTCACACATATACTATTTCAGCAAGTTTATTAACATTTATAAATGGCAAATTTCTACTAGTCGTTATGATACCTTAACAATTGGGCAGTTTGGCAAGGACTGAAGGACTTGTGTCAGTTTCTGACGCTGATGATGGGTTAACCCTTTGATTTGCATAATAACAAAGGGTACATTTTTTAACATTGAAATTAGATGTAATGAAGCTTTTGAATGGTACGTAGTCTGAAAGAGTAATCTTTAGACTCGGTTCGATTCCGGTCAAAGGCAAACACATCGAGAATACTTATTCACTGCGTGTATTCTTACTTTGTGATGTAATAATATATTCTTGTGTTAATATCCTTATTATTATTAATGTTGTATTTTTTCCAACAACAAAAATAACTTTAGTGCAAAATAAAAATGTTATTTTTTGTGTTTAAATTTTTATGTTAAAGGGACACCTTTCCTTAAATAATGATTGATATGTTTAATATAAGAAACTTCTTAAGTAAGTTATGTCAGCTCTTCTCAAAGTGTACATTGAAGGAAGCTAGGTACATAGATGCATCTGTTTCTCATACTGTACATATTTGTACTCTGTATTTAAAAATAATTACTAGTTATGTTACATTGGTGCAGTTAAAATGACCTAACACTGGATTAATAGTTATGTAATACCAATATTTGTAGTTTGGGTCATTGGGCCCTTTATATTGAAAAAATTTGTGTGTGTCGTGCTTGATGATGTTTTACCAGAATTGTGTATTACCAGACAATTTGTAACTAGGCAGTGTCAGCTCCTACATTTAAATGATTGGCAGTATCATTTACATTCACAGAGTTAAACATTGACCTTTCCACATGCAAAAAGAATGCCACAAGTTACACTGAAAACAAGAGAAGTTCATCTGCTTGCCATAATGAAGAATCAGATGGTGTGGCCTATTTCTCCCTTTTTTCACAGATGATAGATACATACAGAGCTAGAGATACTGATACTACATTTGTACTGTATACTACTGTGAATATGAAATTGGAAAGGAACTTTGGTTGTATAAGGAACATGGAGTGTGTCCGCCGTGAGCGTTAGCGTTAACTGTCACACATCATGTAACACATGTTTCTGTATATCATGTGATTCTTGTTATACTGACTGTTATAAATGAAAACCACTCCATTATAGTCAGGGACCCCATTTAGGAGGTTAACGCAGTGTTGAACAGTATTCCAGTCATTTCACGGCGTGTCAGCAACATGATATAGCCGGGTCACGTGCATTATGAAGACTTTTCAGCTTGATTTCCTGCCCTGCCGTATGTTTTCACTCTGGCGAGTTTTAATTATGTAAACGAATAATCGCTGTGGCTTTAAAGATTCGCAGATGATTCAAAATTGACACTTCGAAAAAACACGAAGAAGGCTGAAGACCCGGGCTCGATTCCCTATATGGACACAATGTGTGAAGCCCATTTCTGGTGTCCCCCGACACGATATTGCTGGAATATTGCTAGAACCATACTCACTCCTCCATGAACGTCAAATACCTGAATCATGGTGGTACAATAGGAGTTGTTGATGTTGAAGATGTTGCTAATGTGTTAGAATCAGATTTGTCAAGTTCAGGTGCAGTTGCCACGGGTCGATCAGATTTTACAATGGATCTTAATTTGCAAGCACAACATTAGAATAATGAGTTGAATTGGTTGATAAATGTGCTCTTTAACAAAATACATGTTTTTGTCGATAAACTTTGACGCTGGTAGAATAGGAGTTATCGTTCTTGTTTGAAGCAGCATGGTGTTCATGCCTCTGCATTCCTTCGAGGGGCACCAGTCTCCATTTGGCTTGTGCCAGAATGGCGCGAGTTGGTCACGAAGAATTCAGACATGGAGTGTGTCCGCCGTTAGCGTTAGCGTTAACTGTCACACATCATGTAACACGTGTTTCTGTATATCATGTGATTCTTGTAAAACTGACTGTTATAAATGAAAACCACTCTCCATTATAGTCAGGGACCCCATTTAGGAGGTTAACGCAGTGTTGAACAGTATTCCAGTCATTTCACGGCGTGTCAGCCTGAAATGATGCAGGTCGTACACTTTTAGCATTGGTAAAAACAGTCAGAGCGTGGTGCTTACAAATTGGGATCTGGGATTCGAACCAACGCTCAGGGTTTCAGGAACGAGACGTGGCAGCAAATAGTAACCAGGTGACAACTTGACAACACGATATAGCCGAGTTTAAAATTTTATTAAAAACAAATTAACAAATGTCATGAGGGAAAGTGATGCAGGTCTCAGACCACTTCGGTGAAACCCACGAGCAGGGGTATGGTGCTGACCAACCAAGACACATTATCGGGGCGAACCGGGATTCGAACCCACAATCATAGGTTTCTGGCGTGCCCAAGGGAGGCAACTCTGCACAGCGAATCATGTTACAATGAAAGGAGCATGAAAAATATATAGAAATGCTTTTAGCTGTATATTAAGAACATCAGACAATCAGACACCGTGGCATGTTAACAATCGACCCTAACCCTTCAATCACTTCAAGGAGGACGTCACCTCAAGGTAAAACGTTTATACTTATTGAATGTTTGGCTATAGATATGAAATATTTTTCGTCATTAATATCACTGGAATGACAAGATCAAATGTGACCCAGATCAACTTTTCGATTGACTTTTTGAATTGTTTGTACAGTTTAATTATGATTTGATATGATATCCCTGTTTGTACTTTGAAGACTGCTTGTTTAGAAGGTATCAAATGAATACATCCAGAGCAGCATGGCTCAACCACATCTGTATATATCCATTCTCACGAAAGGCCGAAAGAAAGTTTACAAATTAAGATGACAAATGCAGACAGAATTTGAAGCATGGCGGCAACCTGTGTGTATCCTCAACTTTTGAAATTTGAAACGTTTGATCTGTACTTATTTGTATTCAGATGTATATATCCAGGGCAGCATGGCTCAACTACACCTGTATATATCCATCACCCTGATAGAGACCAAAATAAATTTCATATGACGGCTTTGGAGTAAGTGGTAATAGAACAGGGAAGTTAGAATTACGTTGTACCCCAAAACAGGTGACGTTGAAAGACAATTATAACTGATCTAGGAGAAGGGATTTGAATTGAAGACTGAGTTAACTGTATCAACTGATATCTGATGTTGTCAGCATCCTTTGTAACTATGACTATACAGATTGTCGTGTTGTAGACTTTAGTGTGACAACCGCAGATATTGGAGCAGCATGGCTGTTGGGACACTCCACTCCTTGAGAGTTCAGAAACATCGTGGAGGAAAGAAGCTTGGTCCACTCTAGTCCATTGATATTCGGGGGAAATGCCTGTTGGAGAGATAGATACATTCGTTGTATATGAACACAGATGGAAGATGGTTAAACATGCATGTGCATATCTTCATGTCTATTATCAACAGTCGGCCTGTTCTATCATAACGTCAAGAAGTTCAGTCAGATGTAGCACCAAAACGAAACAAGGTAACAAATCATACATATTTCGCCTAAATCCAACTATTTGTGGAGAAGGTTTTAAGCCGGAGAGGTGTACAAGCACACATATCCCGCTTGGCTAGGCCTAGTGCCCTCGCAAAATAGTCTCCCAAATTGCCAAAACTTATAAAATGCCTTAGTTACGTCGCAATTATCCCTGTAGGTTATTCAGATTCACGATGGTTAATTCTGACTTGATCGCCGAATGACAAGTGCGACGCCATGTTTGTTTATAAACACTGAAAGAAGTCCCTACTTGACCTTTGATATTTGCATCTATCCGCATATGACCCAACGGATATCATTTTTATCCGTTGGCTTTATCCTGCCAAGAAACCTACCCATTATATGATAAATTATATGATAAATAATATTATCTACTATTATCTACTCAAACCTTTAGCGGAGTCATGTCACGATTTCTCGATTACGGAAAATAGGTTTAGGAGGTAAAACGTGAATATGAAAGCATGAGAATTAAAAAAATATAAAAATATAAAAAAAACTTTTTCAAACCAATACCCGTCATCATCCAATGAAGCACTGCAAGTATAATTCTGCAGTTTCTTTTATTTCAGAGCTGATTGTTTGACAATTTGAAATGATCCGGGTATGTTATACAAATATGGAAAGGCCAAGCTGCCAAACATTTAAGTAGTAATCAGCTAAACATAAAGGTTTGTATAAACTGGTGTCCAACTAGGGTCGCAACTTCACAAGACCATATCACTGTCTGAGTAACGAAACGTATATATAATATATAACATCGCATACGTAGACTGGCACTAACATGCTTCCATACTGTGGTGCGCAACTACAACTGGTATACAATCAATAATACAGTAAACTACGGTTATAACGAAACGCTTATTACGAACTAACGGATATAACGAACTTTTTTTTGGTCCAGACTATTGGCTGTAGTTATGCTGTATATATGCTTATAACGAACTACGGTTATAACGAACTAAAATGAGTAGTCCCCTTGAGTTCGTTATAACCGTACTTTACTGTACATATAAACTGCAGCGACCGAGCGTTCATACACTCACCATAGATTAAGAGCGGTGACGGTTGCAGTAGACGGATGTGGTAGACCGGTGTGGTAGACGGGGCTGTGTACAGCTGCGTCAAGGGTGCCTGTAAACGTTGAGATTGTGATCAGATGTCATTTCTCATATACCTGAACACGAACTTAGAACTGAATTGACCAAAGGGAAAGATAGGTAGGAAGTTGTTTGGAACAGTCTGTCTATAAGTGAGTCTAATCATTTGTAACCATCAAATAAGCGCAGTTTGGAACTTACCTTATCACTTAGTTCTGTTCAACATCCATAGACGTCAGTGGTAGATACTGCCAACATCCTTCCCTACACCGCACATGATTTGGAATATTCTCAATGTATCATGAATGTCAACCGAAATATTTTGTTGAGGTGACGTTTTAACCAAATGCGTTCTCGGAAGATACATACTTCCTGTATTAAAATCTTTCACAACAATCCCCTAAAGACGTTGACCAAATACAATTACCCTAGAAAATGTTTGTGAATACAACCGAGTCATCGTTCAACTAGAAGGTGTTAGCGGGTATTTCAGGCAGAAACTGAGCCATGAGACATGAAACACCCCTCAACACCTCAGAGCTGCCGAGTCATCAGATGGTACACATGGACAACTTCAGGGACTTGTAAGTGGACGAACGTGTCAAAAGCAGGATGTTGTACCAAGTTTTAAACATACAAAACAGATCTTGATAATTCCAACATGTTAAGTTAATGATTCATGGATATAGAGTGTATCAGAGGGTGTCAATTCCTGCACATGAAGCGGTGTAATTGGCGGATGTTGGAGAGGGTAGCTGTCACCACACCTGAAGAAAAACAATATTTTGTTAATTTCAGAATTATTCAATCACTTTTTTAAACAAACATGACGATCAATTCACATACGTGTGGCATTTTTTGAAGACGGACAAATAATGTAGGAATTACATGCACTAATATGACAACTGTATCTATATACATTAAGAATTAATTCCTACAGTATAAATGATTCCTTTACAGCTTCAGTTTTACTTACTGCATCTTAGGAGGTAACACCAGATGGCGTGAAGAAGTCGGTGACCGTTGGATTGTTGACGGTGAGGCGGCTGGAGGATGAGGCTGAGGCTGAGGCTGGTGGAAACTGAGGATGGACGGCAACTACGCCTGGCAAGGTGACAGGATGCGTTCTGGTCAGTCGGAACGACACCTGAAGTGATGAGAAGAATTTCGTTAACATATATGAAAGAGGCAATTAACAAGCACCAGGATAAGAACATCTATTACTTGCCATCAAGAATCTACTTTAGAAACTGACTTTGTTTACGGTGAGACCATGGACAGCTGGATATGTTGGCTGGTCCGGATTAGTTTGGTAAGAGAGTCTGACAAGTATGTCAGGTGATGTACCTGAGGCAGGTGGAGGTTGATGCAGGTGGCAATTGAGGCTGGTGCCAGGTGTCAGGTGGCAACTGAGGCTGGTGGCAGGTGGCAACTGAGGCTGGTGCCAGGTGGCAACCGAGGCTGGTGCAAGGGGGCAACCGAGGCTGGTGCCAGGTGGCAGGTGTCAGGTGGCAACTGAGGCTTGTGGCAGGTGGCAACCGAGGCTGGTGGCAGCTGAGGCTAGTGGCAGGTGGTAACCGAGGCTGGTGCCAGGTGGCAGGTGGCAACCGAGGCTGGTGCCAGGTGGCAACCGAGGCTGGTGCCAGGTGGTAACCGAGGCTCGTGCCAGGTGGCAGGTGTCAGGTGGTAACCGAGGCTGGTGGGAGGTGGCAACAGAGGCTAGTGGCAGGTGGCAACTGAAGCAGGAGGAAACCAAGGCAGATGGTAAGCAAGGCAGGTGGCAACCGAGGCTGGTGGCAGGTGGCAACCGAGGCTGGTGGCAGGTGGCAACCGAGGCTAGTGGCAGGTGGCAACTGAGCGGGAGGAAACCAAGGCAGGTGGTAAGCAAGGCAGGAGGCAACGGAGGCTGGTGGCAGGAGGCAACAGAGGCTGGTGGCAACAGAGGCTAGTGACAGGTGGCAACAGAGGCAGGAGGAAACCAAGGCAGGTGGTAACCGAGGCAGGTGGCAACAGAGGCTGGTGGCAGGAGGCAACAGAGGCTGGTGGCAGGAGGCAACGGAGGCTGGTGGCAGGAGGCAACAGAGGCTGGTGGCAACAGAGGCTAGTGACAGGTGGCAACAGAGGCAGGAGGAAACCAAGGCAGGTGGTAACCGAGGCAGGTGGCAACTGAGGCTGGTGGCAGGAGGCAACAGAGGCTGGTGGCAGGTGGCAGGTTGCAACGGAGGCTGATGGCAGGAGGCAACGGAGGCTGGTGGCAGGAGGCAACAGAGGCTGGTGGCAGGAGGCAACAGAGGCTGGTGGCAGGAGGCAACAGAGGCTGGTGGCAGGTGGCAACGGAGGCTGGTGGCAGGTGGCAACGGAGGCTGGTGGCAGGTGGCAACGGAGGCTGGTGGCAGGTGGCAACGGAGGCTGGTGGCAACAGAGGCTGGTGGCATGTGGCAACGGAGGCTGGTGGCAGAGGCAACAGAGGCTGGTGGGAGGTGGCAACGGAGGCTGGTGGCAACAGAGGCTGGTGGCAGGTGGCAACGGAGGGTGGTGGCTGGTGGCTGGTGGCAGGTGGCAGGTGGCAGCGGAGGCTGGTGGTGACTGGTGGTGAATGAGGCTGGACACAACCTTTAGAAAATAAATTAATGTTTAAAAAAATCTTATTAATCTTATTCTGGTTGACAAGCTATTCAAAGAATTCCCTGGCCACACGATATACATTGAGTTTTCTATTTGACAAGAATTGTATGTCAACATGTGTCAGACCTGTTCCTGTTTGACGAGGTGTATTGAATTGGAGTTTCTGGAACATCTAAGGGTGGCAGAGTTACCATTGCATGTGGAAAGGGGAGGGGGTGAATGTTGTAGAACGCCGCAGTCAGCAATATTACAGCTAACATGTGACTGACAAGCGAACATTGGTCGATGGGATTGTAGAATGATCAACGTAAGTACAATCACACATGTGACTCGCCCTAATTGTATTCAACAACCATAAGGTACGGGGTTATCTATTCTGCCCTGGGTCACCTCGAGAGCATATAGAAGAACCCTGTTGGTGAGTGGGTGAGGTCCAAACTCGCTAAATGCAATGTCGGTTCCCAATACAGGATATTTATTATCCAAAAATATACTCGCGTGATAACCTCTTTTTTTACTTATTGATATTATCTGCCCACTGCTTTAGGTGCAATCGAGTGGCGTTCCGAATATAAAGTATCCAGTTAAATTGCATGGATCCAGCGTACTATACTAGTACTCACCATAGACTAGAGCGGAGGTGTGGTAGACGGTTGTGAATAGAATTTAGAATTGAATTTACAATCGCGGTGTTCTCTAAGTCTGGGAGTTCTGAATGTCTTAAAGGGGAAGTGTACACGCAAAAATCACTTTCTTTTTCTAAACAAAACGCAATTTTAGAATTAGTTAGTATCTGTGTTCGAAAATATAAACTCATTTCTTTCACAGTGAAAGTAGGAAGCTCACAATAGTGTGAAAATGATATGCCGTTATGAGGCCTTCGTTTTTCGAGCTAAACAGGCCTGAGTTATCCCCCTTAGATTATGACGAAATTGGTGCCAATTCAACTTGGTCCCTGTCTATTCTGAACGCAAAAGATATCAAGTACAAGTTTTCGGTAAAACAACATGGCCTACGACACTCCGGCGCAGTGGTGACTCAGCATAACACTATGCTGGCTGGCATTTGAGACGCTAGAATCATACACCTGTACGTACACCACATGAAGCGGCTCTAACAAAGCATGATGACGTCATAATGTTTATCAATTGGCACCAATGACGTCATATTGCAAGGGGCATAAGCCATGGTGTTTTTGTTATGGAAATAGAACACTTGGTAAATGTGAAAAATATCAATCGTTTTAATGCAAAACATATGTTAATTAATTGTGATATTTTTATATTTTTGTCTATGACACTTCTAGGTTAACACTTTTAATGTGGAAAAAGTACAAGAAAATTAGGTTCATTTCCGTGTGAACTTGCCCTTTAAGTTATTTGGAACGGCCTGTCTATAAAGTAAGTGACACATTTCAACCATCAACGCAGTTTGAAACTTACCTTGTCACTTAGTTCTGTTCAACAAACATCTTGGCTGTAGACTGATACTGCCAACATCCTACCATAGCACCGCACATGATAAGGAAGAGACGTCTTCAACTCAGTGTATCAAGAAAACAAACTGAAATATTTTGTTGAGGTGACGCAACCAGTAAGATCTGACATACTCATTTCAATGCTGGTATTAAAACCCTGACTGACGTTGTCCAAATACAAATTACCCGAGAAAATGTTTGTGAATACGACCGAGTCATCGTTCAACTAGAAGGTGTTAGCGGGTGTTTCAGGTAGAAATGTGAGCCATGAAATATGAAACACCCCTCAACACCTCAGAGCTGCCGAGTCATCAGGAGGTACCCATGGACAACATCCGGGACTTGTAGGAGGACGATCGTGTCAAAAGCAGGACGTTGTACCAAGTTTGAAACATACAAAACAGATCCTGATAATTCCAACATGTTAAGTTGGCATCTTTGGAAAATGCCAGTTGTCAAGATTGATAGAATGTTTTGAATAGTTTATGGATAAGATATATTGATATCGAGTTGTCAATTCGTGCACATGAAGCGGTGTAACTGGCAGGTGTTGTAGAAGGTAACATGTCCCCACACCTGAAGAAGAAACAATATTTCAGAATTATTCAATATTCAATAAACACACATGACGATCAGATCACGTTTGTAAGTTGTTTTTAGTGGACGGACGAGTATCGAGAATGTATGCACTAACATAACCACTATAAAGCAGAAAATCAATCTTGTTTCAAATTGACGGGAAAATGTTTGCTCTAAAAGAATTGATTCCAAGAGAATAAATAATTCGTTTATAACTATAGTTTAACTTACCGCATTTAAGGATGTAACACCAGATTAACCTTGTCGCCAATGACAGCTTGTGGCCACCGAGGGTGGACATCTATCACTGCCGGATGAACGAAGCCGGGTTGTTGATTACGATGCCTGCAGTGGTAAGGAGAAACATACCATTTAAACACCAGGGTGGAAACACCTATTCATTGACCAAGATACGCACTAATCTACTAATCGACTAATCATCTCCCAATACCAATTTTACAATTTAAAGAGAGGTTGCCTCAGTGCCGAACAGTTAATCCATGTAATATATGTCGATGTATTTTCATAGAGAACAGAACAGTTTGATGTTGGAGGAAAGGCAGAATTGATGCAGGTCTCAGAATTCACCACTTTGGGCAGAGTCACCATTGCGTGTGGAAAGGTGAGGAGGTGAATGTTGTAGAACGCCCCAGGCAGCAATATTACAGCTAACATTTGACTGACAAGCAAACTGGTTGATGGGGTTGTAGAATGATCAACGGGAGTACAATCACACATGTGACTGGCCCTAATTGTATTCAACAACCATAAGGTACCGGGTTACCTATTCTGCCCTGGGTCACCCCCAGAGCATATAGAAGAATGTTGGTTTAGTGGGTGAGGCCAATGCTCGCTAAATGTTCCCATAATGACTGGAAAATGTTTGCCCTCAAGAATTAATTAACTATAGTTTAACTTACCGCATTTGAGAAGTCCCTTATCGTTGCCTTTTCCTGATGAAAGCTACCTGGTCTCTGGTTACGATGTCTGAAGTAGTAAGGAGATGTTCGTCAACATATTTAGAAACATACCATTTAAACAGGGTGGAAACACCTCTTCTTGGACGAAGATACACACTAATCTACTTCTGCAACACCATGCTTGCTGTAAAAGGCGACTATGCTCGTCGTAAGAGGCGAGTAACGGGATCGGGATCGATGTTCATGTCAATCACTGGACTGTCTGGTCTAGTCTCGAATATTTACAGACCGCCGTCATATAACTGGAATATTGCTGAGTGCGGCAAGCAACAAACAAACTTCTGCAACCATCTACTAACACCAATTTCCGAAACATATCAATCCTGTCCGCAAATTTCACAATTTAAAGAGAAGTTGCCTCAGTGCCGAACATCGATCCACGCTATTTGAATACAATGACATGCATCAACTAAGTTACGAGCCTGACCACCCGATCCCGTTAGATGCCTGTAACAAGTATGGGTTGCTGAAGATCACGTCTGACCCGGATGTTGACGGGACTAAATGTGAGCGGGTGACTGTATATCATTATTCCACCAATATCAGAGATTGGGACAAGAATGGGCACAACACGTGGGATAACGTAACAATAGTTGAGAAACTAGGTCAACCCACGTAGAATAGGTCAATGTGTTGACTCCCTTTGTAGTGAGTGAGTGAGTATGGTTTTACGCCGCTTTGAGCAATATTCCAGCAATATCACGGCGGGGGACACCAGAACTCCCTTTGTTAATGATACATCTCGACACATTGGGTCAACTTACTGGTGATGCCTCCTCCAAGGGTCATCTGCAGAGCACCAGCAGGCTTGCGGACGCGTCCCCTTCTCTGTAATGAAACAAACAATACTTAGACCCACTTACCAGGAATATATATATATATATAAACGATGCAAATCATTTATCACGTTCCTATTGTGTCGGTTTGTGATTTAACGCTGCGCTCAGCAATAGGTCTCTATATAATGGAGTCTGGAACAGACAATCCAGTGATTGACCATGAACATCAATTGGGATACGATGACACGATGTTAATGAACCTGACCACCCGATCCCGTTAGTCGCCTCTGACAAGCAAGTCGCCTTTCATGGCAAGCATGTTCACGGGACAGTGAGTTGGGGTTTATTGTCGGAGTATATCAGTGTTATGGTGAAGTATCGGATTAAAGTGAGACCAAGTTCTAGGGAACAGCCACCGTTAAAGATATATATTTACGATACTAATCACGTATCGATGATGTTGCTATTGTAGAAAGTGAGGGAGTATTGTTCAAGTATATTAATACAACATTTGAGAGAAGATCGTCCTAGATGCTGATGTTGTAATCTCAAGCTTGCTGTTGAGACTTGCAGGTATGGAAATACCATATACGATGAAAGATGTATGTATGTATCAAGTTCATTGTAAAATCAATCAATATCATACAATTAAAACTATTATTTATATCATTGCTATTAAAAGAAACGTCTGTCTATTTCTGTATGTAGAGACAAGAAATACCAAATTGTAAATCTTATGCATAGTCACGCTTTTTGCAGGTATTTTGGAACAAAGACAATTTACAATTTAAATTTCAGGGAAAGATGGTACTTAAATGGACAACAATTTAATGTAGTTATAAGTATCTCGGCATAATGTTTAATTCAACACTAAATATGAACAAATGTGTATCTGGCTTATCACTGCGAGAGAAACGAGCTTTACTTAATATAATGTCTGTTACACATAAACTTGGAGTTATTACTCCAAAAGTATTTTTCAAATTATTTGATACTCAAATACAACCAATTTTATTGTATGGATCTGAAGTGTGGGGTTACCGTAGATATGAATGTTTAGAAAGAATTCACCTCCTGGCATGTAAAAAGTTTCTTCGCGTTGGAATAGCAACACCAAATAATATGATATATGGAGAATGTGGAAGATTGTTTAAAATATT